GTGTCACCCTGTAACTCAAGATCGTGATCAGGATCAAAATACTTCAAAAGAGGAGTTGTTGACAAAATGTCCTTGATCACATTGAAAGAATTCCCTTCAACGTCATTTCTCCAGTAAAGTTCGTTCTGCTCTTTGAGGCGCTTTCTTGAAATTGCTGTGACTGAGGATAAGTTACGCGCAAACCTTTGAAGATAGTTGATCATCCTTAGGAGTCGTCGTACCCTTTGTCTATCAGTTTATATAGGCATCTTCTGCATTGCTTCAACCTTTTTAGTATCATGACTGAGTCCTTCGATCTGAGGTAATTAAATGACCCATGAAACTTACTCGATTACGACAAAACAACAACGTCTTTACGTTTAACTTTATTCTAGTACTTCTGCATCTTTCCAATAGACTAACTAGCTTATTATCATGATTATCCAATGTTTGCTCATAGGATTCGCTTACGCCGCAAACCAGTATATCGTCACAAATAGCTCTATTTTTTTTCAATCATTCCAGAGCATCGTCAAGATAGCGTGCAATTTTTCGGGGAGCCAGAAAAATGCAAAAGTCATTCGTTTTTCTGTAACGGCCCTATGTTGTTGCAAATGTGGTAAATAGGTACTTCCATTATCTAACTGTATGTGCCAAAACCCATTCTTTGCATCCACAACCGAGAATACCTTAATTAGCCTTTGCTAAGTTAGGTTGAAGATCCTCTATATCTGGATAACAATAGTGATTACGTTTCATTGCATTATTTAATGGCTTTGTGTTGGTGCATACACGAATACTTCCACCTTTCTTTTGCACAGCTACCATACCTGAAATCCAGTGTGTCGGGACCTCTACTCCTGCCACAACATCATAAGATATATGAAAATTTCATAAAATTTGATTTAAAATAAATCAACTGAGAAGATACGTAAAATACGTGACATTTTTGTGCACGAATATACCCCAAGTGCATGCTATTTTTGTTAAAAGTACACCTATAAAGACTCCTCAAAAAAATATTTATATTTTAATAACAATATACTAAAATTGCTGAGATGTAACATAATAGTATTGCTATTTATTTCTCATATATGTTTTTATTTATTAACTTAACTTATATAGTAATTCTTGTATAATGTTCAAGCCATTCCGTCACTTGACACTTGGACACACCCTGTTACGCCGCTGACCGTTTGAATAAACAGTTCAGCAAACATAATCAAATATTACAAATTCTCACATGCTATTTTCCAAATTCATACTTCTATGAAAATTTTGTTAATATTTTTTCAATGCTGAAGTTTTATGGGCAAAAAATGTCTGAAATAAAAGGCTCAAACTAGACATAAGGAAAAATAGCGATTCATAATCTCACACAGATACAAAGTGATGGATACCGAGTGGTAAACTGTATAAAAAATACAGCGTCATGTTTCTACACTGCTTACCTTTTCCTTGGTTAGAATTATTTGGACAGATATAATCTAAAAACAAAGTAACTACAAGAACTTTGCTTGGTAAATGATGAATTCTGAATGTGCTTGTTAAACTCTAAAGTTTTCAGTAGCCTGCATGGTCGTATCTAAAGCATTGTTTGAATGGTCATTATAATTAAACGTTGCCTTGTAAATAAACATCAAACTGACTAACATAGATACAGCCCCGCTATTACGAATAGAAGTTTATGGCTTTAATCATTTTTTAAATTTTCGTTTTGTTTTATGACAAACTATTGGGGTAGAGGAAAGTTCATATAATTTTTCCCCATTGGAAAACTTTAAATATTTTCAATGTTGTGGTGCAAGTGCGAAAAAATAATTTTGCATTCCTTTAAATCAATTCCATCTGTTATATAGTTGGGTTTTATTATGTTATGGTGGCAGCAAAGGATTCCATTAAGTAATGATGATATTTTATAAATTAGTTTAAACCTTTAAATTTCATAATCTGTTTTAAGGACCCCATGCCCATTTTTTTGAAGTCATGAAATTTTGCAAGATACATACGCTTTTTCCTTCTTTCACGGAACTTATGCACCAATTTTGCTGAGGAATTTTTAAGGCTTTTTTAAGTTATTTTCAGCATTCCAGCTGGAATCCAAACCTGATTTGTCTTGTGGAAGATATAGCTGATAGAGTAGTTGTGAGAATTCAGGTTGTTTACCTGAGACCAGTTGTAAAACTTCAGCATTTGAAGCTATAATCTCACATTTATCATAGAACAAAGACTACCTGCTCTAAAGCTAGAGACTTACTTAGTTACTTTGGTAGTATAATAATAATGAATTGACGATTGAAGCGTTTACTGGAGAAATATTATAAAGTTTTGCCGTCTTATGCAGTCACATAGGCAGGTTTTGGCTCATCTAGTAGGGCAATAATTGTTACCTGACTTTGCCTTAAAAAAGGCTGCCTGCTACTATCTGTGCTGTGTTTGTTGAGAAGAAATCATTTTCATTAGGAGTGATATCCCTTGCATTTATAGAGACGATCTACATTGGTGTAAGTATTAGCCTTTGAGATGGTCGTAGTTTTATGGCTAATTTTATTACTTTGATACTAGGAATGTGAACATGTAAATCTTCGCAAAACAAGAACTCCGTTACGCGGGTATTTGAAGCGAACACAAGTAACGACATTCCTTATTTAAATTTGGCTTGAAAAGCTCAAGATTGCGAGTCAACAGCTCCTTGTACATATCGCCAAGGGGTGTTAAAGCACTGGTGTTATAGGTCGACATCTTTCAATGTCTTTGCTTAGCTTTGCAGTATCTCAAATCGAATGCTCAGATTGCAATGTGACAATATCAGCTACGCTATGGCTGATTAAGTAATTGCAACTCCAACTTTGACAAGCTTAATCTAAAAAATTCCCAACTTTAGGATAAATGCCGCAAATCGTATGATTCAGTAATTACCAAATTTCAGAGATTTATTCTTTGGCACAGCGGGCTTTTCTTTGTGTCGATCTTATGTATTCATTTGGTTTCTTCCAAGTTAAATGATTAACATTGGTTGATAAATGTCTGCCAGTTTCTGCCTTAGATCATCGTTTGTTTGGTTTTTTCACCATTATATTACCATTTGCATTCAAATGGTAAGTGTCCTAAATTTTTCGCGTTTGTTCGCGTTTCAAACGCTACGTTTGTCAGGCGAAACACCGCTTTCAAATTAGAAACATAACGTTTGCTCAGGAATGTTTAAATTTTGAGGAACAATTTGAACAGGTTTTCGTCATGTCATTGACATATTTATACGATTTTACATTGATAAAATGCTGTAGCAACTGAGAATTACATTCGTATAGCTTAAGCAATTTGCAAAGTATGATAATTAACCATATAATATATAGAAAAACTGTTACAATTTTAGAAATCCGCGATTTAAACAAACGTAACGTTTACCATTTGAAACCAGACGTTCTGTCTGACAAACGTGACGTTTAAAATGTGAACAAACGAAAAAAATTCGAGACACTTAGCAGTTGGTAATAAGCAAATGGTAATATTGACCAATTTTGCCAAGTCAATCATCCTGAGCGGCTAAGATGTTTGAACAGGAATTTGGCGCGTCGCCATTGATTTTTAACTCCGTTAACATTTCTAAATTAAAGGTTACCTTTTCTGCTTCATAAAGGGTATTATATATTTTTAGATTGTTAGTTATACAACGCTATTCTGTCGCTTGTTCATCTTGGGCATCGTAAGAGACGTGTAAGGGACAAACTCATTTTGTTTTCTATCGTTTTTACAATCATGGCCGTAAAATGGTTTTCTTTGTATTCAACTTTGCTATTTTCAACTGACTTCCATCAATGTAAACTAATAACTATTCTTTTTCCTCTGCTGTGGCAAGTTCCCTTTCAATTGATTTTCCTCTTAATCCATCATCAATTTTTTCCTTCCGGATAATGCAATTTGAGTTCTATGGTTTGCTTTTGAAAGCTGACCGTGCAACGGTTTATGCAGATCTGATCTTAAGGAATAAGCGCTTCTTCATCTAGCTAATGTTGCATAGCTCCGTATGGACCAGACAAATGAGGCAACAGAACTGTTTTTCGCATTATTCCTGGCAAAATTTATCAAAAAAAGTGAGAAATTTTGTTGATCATTGCTCATTATTTTTACAATAAATATGGAATAAAATACCATCATAACACGTAAGAACAAAAAAGTGCACCTCATAAATCGGTGTTTTATAATTTATTTACTGTTGGACAGTCGGAAGTCTTGCTATAGTATTTACAAAATAAATTTTCAAAGCAATTTTTACAAAAAAAAAGTTTTATACTGCATACAACAATTCATCGCAAAGAAACAACAATCAACACAGACTGAGGAGAACTAAACATATGCTACAATTATTGTCGAAATTTTTATTACAGATTGTCGTCTGTTAACCAAAGACTACCCAAGTTAGACGTACATAAACAAGTCGCCATGGGTACATTATCTAATTACAATACTAAGTCATTAACTATAAATATTATAAGAGAGCTTTATAGCTATAGTGGTAAATTTCAACATTTAAGACAAGATTAGTTTTATTGATGCAAAGAGCTTCTTTTATTTCAAGAGTAAAATTTGAGCAATTGGTGTCAATGATTTTAAACAAAGAGACTGAAAATTTAATTTTAAAAGAAGAAGAGGCATGTATTATATGTCCCATGTTGAACACAATTTGTTTTTGAAACTTTGCTGGCTCCTTAAATCCTTAGCTTGATTACCAAAGAATTCTTGTTAGATGGACCCAGAATAGTTCTGGGTCAAACTTACAAATGTTCTACGTCACCATTGTAGGCCCGTTTCAAACGTTGAAATTTACAAAAGCCAAATGCATTTAAAACAAAAGAAAATTTAGAATTTTTTCTTATTATTTCTTTTGACTTTAATGCATTCAACAAATGTAACATGCGTTGACATTTAAAATGAGACTTGATTTATTGCACTAGCCAATCAAATTCCTGTCATGCAACATTCAATGTACCTTTACTTATAAGTTATGTATTTTGATTTTGTAGGTTTAAAAAGTGGATTTCAAAGTTATTCTTAAAAAACGGCGATAAAGTCCTTGGTTTTCTTGGAGTAAAGTGCTTATACGAGTTGCAGGACAAAGAAGTCATGCGCTCAGCTTGCTCAGAGTTAATGCATTTTTCTCAAGAAGTGAAGATTGATAAAGTTTCTTTTACGCCTGTTGATTCAAACGCATTGTTTGAATTTCTTTCTAAATGTGAACACATAACAAGTCTTTCTTTTGACGATTGCAAGTTTCTTGATAATCATAGCTGTCTTCCTTTAAAAAACTATTTGTCAAGTGAGAGAGCGGAAATTTTGATTAATTTAAAATTCAGGTCTTGTGACTTAGGCAATATTTTCGGTGAAAATCTTAGCGAAGCTTTAAAGAGTGAGAATTGTAAACTAACTAAGCTGGATCTTGGTAATAACAATATTGGTTATGAAAGTGCAAAATATCTTAGAGATGCTTTGGAAAGTGAGAGTTGTAAACTTACTGAATTGGATCTTAGTTTTTACATTATAGGTGATGAAGGTGCAAAATATTTTACTGAAGCTTTGAAAAGTGAGAATTGTAAACTTACTAAATTAACTCTTCAGAGAGTCAGAATAGGTGATAAAGGTGCAAAATATCTTAGTAAAGCTTTGAAAAGTGAGAATTGCAAACTTACTACATTGGGTCTTGGTAAAAACAGTATAAAAGATACAGGTGCAAAATATCTTAGTGAAGCATTGAAAAGTGAGAATTGTAAACTTACTAAATTGCCTCTTCATTGTAACAATATAGGTTGTACAGGTGCAAAATATCTTAGTGAAGCATTGAAAAGTGAGAATTGTAAGCTTACTGAATTGTTTCTTAATGAAAACGAGATAGGTGATGAAGGTGCTAAATCTCTTAGTGAAGCTTTAGAAAGTGAGAATTGTAAACTTACTGAATTGCAACTTAATAGAAACCAGATAGGTGATAAAGGTGCAAGATATCTTAGTAAAGCTTTAAAAAGTGATAATTGTAAACTTACTAGTTTAAATCTTAGTAGCAACCAAATAGGAGATGAAGGGGCAAAATATCTTAGTGAAACTTTAAAAAGTGATAATTGTAAACTCACTCAATTTTATTTGGATCATAACAAACTAGGTGATGAAGGTGCTAAATATCTTTGTGAAGCTTTAAAAAGTGATCATTGTAAGCTTACTGAATTTTATTTGAAGCATAACAAAATAGGTAATTAACGTGCTAAATATCTTAGAAAAGCATTCAAAGTTAGAATTATAAACTTATCAAATAGGGTACTGGTAATAACAAAATAGCAGCTACAGGTGTGATCTTTCTTGGTGAAGCTTTCAAAAATAAGAGGTGTAAGCTTACTGAAATAAACATCCTCAATAACAGTATGGGTGATGAAGGTGCAAATCATCTTAGTGAAGCTTTAAAAAGTGAGAATTGTAAACTTACTGACTTGTCTCTTAATTATAACAATATAGGTAATAAAGGTGCTACATCTCTTAGTGAAGCTTTAAAAAGTGAGAATTGTAAACTTACTGAATTGCCTCTTCATTTTAACAATATAGATGATGAAGGTTCAAAATCTCTTAGTGAAGCTTTGAATACTGAGAATTGTAAGCTTACTAAGTTGAGTGTCAATAGTAACAGTATAGGTGTTCAAGGTGCTAAATATCTTAGTAGCACATTAAAAAGTGAAAATTTTACTTCAAACAAGTGATTTTTATTTTTAGTTACATTTCCTACAAATGATTTTTCTCTTTGCATGATACATGATAAAAATAGTAAAAATGTATGTAACTTCCTGCTTGAAGGTTTGTAATTTAAACATTTATGTTTTATCAGCAAAATAAATGAAAAATTGTTCACAGTGAACAATATATATTTCTTGTGACTTTCATTTTATAAAGTGTTTCTTGATTTAAAAACTATTTTCAATTCTCTCTACATAGCTATGTTAATCCATTTGCAGAGTAAAAGTATAGTTTATTAGTAATCATGTATTGTTCATTTATTTCTTTTGTTTTTTTTGCATTATTTACTGCAAAGAGTAAAGACTGTAACAAACAATTTTGGACTTAAATGATGTTATAAATATTTTGTAACTATCAAAAGAAATTTCAATACTAAACATGAACACATTGAATGTTTTCTTTCAAAATTCCTCTCCAGTCAACAGATTTATGAACAAATTCCGTCTAATAGTCATAAAAACGCAATATTTTTTTAGCTAAAAATAAACAGGATATATAATTAAGGTAATCTTCTGAAGAATTCGTTATTGCATGAACGTTAGGAAACTTGCTCCATATGTGAACAACTTTAAACAGACATAGTAATTGTCTGTGTGTTTTTCTGAACTTATCCTGGGCTATAAACTGTCGTAAGTATTCCTTGTGAATGACAAAACTTAAATTAATAGCTATATGAACGTCGCTTATGCAACGCGCTAACACTCTTTGTACACCTTACTTTTACGATTTTTATTTTGGTTTGTGGCGTTCTCTTTAGCTTGAAACTCTTCTATAATCTTGCTTTTTTTGCCTTTAAACCTATTGTTTTTAATTAATTACTACAAAGCAGAAATATTAATCCTGACATGAAAAACATGTGACTTAGACGAGATTTGAACTCGCATCTTCGGGGTAGTAGTTCGCTGTTCTACCTGTTGAGCCTACCCCTTGGTTAGACACATTTGAAGAAGTCGTCAACTCATACAATAATTATTTATGACAGTTAAAAAAATATGTTAGCTAAACCGTAGTATAGGAATATACAATAAGGCCACGTCGCTGTGCAACTGGCTGCTGTATATGAAATTAGTTTACTGCCGTTTGCCATATGGTCAATCCTATTGGTCACAAAATATAATTTACTTGCTGCCAATATGGCAATCACATGCGTAATAAGATATGCGTGGCACAAGAAAATTCAATGGAGTGGCCCTATTGTATGCTTTCTATACTGTGGCTAAACCAAGCAAACAAGATAAAACACCTCCCATGCAACACCATAAAATTGACAATGGGCATGCGCGACATTGCTTCATTCACCACATAGCAATGTCGGACATTGTGCATACTTTATTGGTTTTCTTCCTCCTAGTCATAATGTAAACTGTATAACCATGCCATAGTTCTATAGTGAGGGTTAAGTAAGTCCCTGCATTCATCTTTGCAATGATGGGGACAAAACATTGCTCAAACATTCTATGTAGCTATGTTGCGATCCTTATAATTATAAAAAAAGGCAATTAATGGTAATTTGGACCAATAGTTCTATATTTTCTCATGTGACTTACACGTCTCTATTCTGGCCGAGTGGTGCAGTTGACAGTACGAGAATCTTGCCTGCAAAGGTTCAATTTCTTCTCTGCGACAAGATCGACTTGTTTTCTTTCATTTCAAAGTTATGAATTACTCCAAAAAACTAAAAGAAATCTTTGGGCGTGTAACTCAACGAGTTAGCACAATCACCTCATAATTGGTAGATAAAATTAAATGCCCCCATGGTAGTGCGGAGGTTTTTGACCTTTTTTGGAAGAAATGTGGGCTTTGGGTAACAATCGCCAAACTTGGCCTTATTTGTAGATTTTGACATGTTAAATAAAACTGGCTATAAACCCCAGTGTGATTGCGCATGTAAACATAAAAACGCGCTTCCTAAATTATGACGTACAGTGACGTTACTAAAAAATTTCCAAAATTGTTCTTTTCAGTTTTACAATTAGCAAACCAGGTACAATTGTGCATTTTGCAAAACAGCCTGAAGTTATAAGTAAGATAGTACGTGGGAAAAGTAAAAACCGCTGTTTACAAAATGTTGCGTAACTAGTTTATCATCAAAATTGCATGTTTTGAGATACTACCAATCTTGGCACGCGGGTAAGTTTTGATATGCTAAGCAAAACAGACGAAAGAAGTTCCACAGTTTCATTATTTGTCATTAACTTGCTATCTTGGTATTTGTAAGGTCATTTCTAACTTGCTATCTTGGTATTTGTAAGGTCATTTCTTGAGAACTACTTCCAGCTTTACAAGGAAGCTTGTTGGTCTTTAGCTCCGTGTTTTTTGCACTTGACCACACAAATTATGCTAGATGGTTCACCGTTCATATTCGTGACCTGGAAAACACTAAGTGCTTACTTCTATTAGTCTCGGCAGAATAAACAAGGGTGACTATGTGGTGAATAAGAGCCAACGCCCTTCTCAGTAATTCCAATTGACCAGGCCCACGAACAAAACAACAAGTTTGTAAAAGGTAGCGGAGGCGAAGTCGGACTGACGGAAGACAAGATGAAGCTACTGAGATGGTTGGATCGGGCCTAGAGGTTTCTAGAGTTATCCTTGATTTTGAAGCATCGCAGGAGCTTATAGGATATAGCCAATCATTGTCTCTTCATAATGAAGAAACAAAAGCTACACAATTATCATTGCAGAATCCTTTCGAGCAAACAAGTGAAGAGCTGCTTGTATTAGATACAAAAGGCATAATATAATGCAATTGTTAAAGAACGATTGAAGAAACGTACTACCCCTCTCACTGAGCCTATGAAGGAAAACAAAACTTTGATATTTTACCTGTCCAAGATGCAAAAATAATCATAATTAAAAAAGTTGATTATGTCTCTGATACAAGACTGCTTTTCTTTCAAGATTGTACGTCTCTTGTCAAGTTTGTGATGGTGACCTGAATGAAGTTTTGCTCATAAAAATCAAGGATTTCCTCTATCTATCTCCAACTTTGGAAAACTGAAGACACCGAAAAAATCTGACTTGCTGACATGTCTAGAAAGTTCAATAGAACCAAACTGTTAAACTTAATATCCGCATGCACTGGCTATGATGATTGATGGCGCTGCAATTGTCAACATGCTTTCAAATGGTGCTTCTAGCATTTTCCAAAAAACTGCAGCATTGTTTTCGTTCCTTATGTAAAATACCAGCTGAGAAGTGCCCGAAGAGTAGACGTAATTTGGATCGTTACAATCAGCACAGCTTAAAAGCGCCAACCAGAGAAAAAAAAGGGAAACGCATTCAACGGCGAGTGCAACCTGACACTAGAATGTGCTAGTGCTTGTGATCATTCAACTTTATCACCGTGTAGTCATGAAAAGGAGGACACCAGGCTTATCCTCCATGCAGCTGGAGCAGCTATGCATTATCCCGACATCTTAATCAGAACAGTAGACACTGATGTTTTATTCATTTGTGAGACATTCTTTCCATAACTCCAATTTAACGAGTTTTGCGTGGTGTTTGGCGCTGGAATATAATCCGCGTTATCTTCCAATCAATGAAATTTTTACGAAGCATGGGTCCTGATTGTTTGAAGGGAATGTTATTCTTTCACGCACTTGCTGGATGCGACCAAGCATGAACATTTGCATGAAAAGGCAAAGAACTACATCGGAGACTTGGTCAAATTTCAATTTTTCTAATTTCTTCAAGTTAATATGAAAATGCCCTTTTCTTCACGCTGTCGAAATTTCATTTCCGGAAATTGAGCGTTTTGTTATATTAATGAAAGCTCATGGATGACAACTATTGAACCCTGCAATGATCTATTTACCCCGAAAGGTAGATCTTTCAAATGTATTCCACCCACATAAGATGCTCTGTTACATCATTTTAAGAAAACTATTTACCAAGCCTGCTATGTTTGGTTTACGTTAACGGAACATTCACCACCTTTATAATGTGCAAATCATGGGGCTGGAAACAAGATTCATCTTGCAATTGGGAACCTATGTGGACCACTCTCTCTAAAGGTTCCGAATGTTTTTACGAGCTTTTAAAATGGGCCTGCAAAAATGAAAAGAGCTGCACAGGACGGTGTAAGTGTGTACGAGCCAACATGCTATGCACAGCAATATGTTTATGTGTTAGACTCTATCGAGATTAAAGCAATGCGAAAAAAGTTTTAATTAATTTATAATATTTTTTGCGTTAGTATTACTCACTATTACTTTGTTCCCATTATGACGTCATGTAATGCACGCAATAAAGGTAGCGATTTTCACTGTTGTCAAAACTGTAAATTACAATCACAACGATAGTTTTGTTTAGATTGTCGAAATCGCAACTGTGCAAAATTTAATGCTTTCAAACCTTAAAAACAACGATTTTGAAAATTATTTAGTAACATCATATGACGTCATAATTTAGAAAGCGTTTTATGCTGTTTACGGGCACAATCACGCTGAGGTCCATAGCTAGTTTTACTAAGCATGTCAAAATTTGCAAATGGCCAAGTTTGGTGCTTTTAACCCAAAACCTACAAAAGATTTAAATGAAATTCCGATCGTTTTGTCTTTGTAATCCTACTGAGTAAAGGTAGAAAGTCATGTCATTGACGCTGTAATTTTGCTCGTGTGATTCAGGCATTCAAACACAAACGTGTTTTACAAATGACAATAAATTTACGTTGCTACGGAGAAAGAACATATATAGCTCTTCTATACCTATTGTTTTCAAAATTGAAGTGGAAGGATTTGCTGTAATTTATTCAAGTACGAACAATGAATGTTAAACAATTGATGTGGAACAAATTTATAATGACGTAAGTAACACAACATTTAATGATATTATTCACACAAAATTTTTGCACTATTGAACTATGAGGCGTCGTGGTAAAAACTTGTCGTTTGAATAAAATTGGACAAGACGGCAAAAAAGCAACAAGGATAATGTAATCAAAAGATTTGTGTTTGTGCAAAAGAAACTAACTTTAAGGAAAAGACAACGATAATCGTCAATTTTTTGCCAATTGCGAAAGACGGCAAGATGTATAGCTAAAACAATACAAGGAAGGCAAAACTACATTAACATTAATGTTGAGGGAGAAATAGCTAATGATTGAAAGGAACTCTCGACATAGATTGCACGCAATATATAAAAAAACTTTCAAAGAAATACTACAACGACGTCTATCGGAAAAATCTGTCGACAATTGTGTAATCCCATCATATCTAAGCATTTTAACAAGCATAAAGCTGATAAAGAAAACATTACATCAAATGCCAGCGTAACGCTACAGAGGAGATAATGGTGAACGCCTTCAGGATTATACCCAGTGGATTGTTCTAACTGCTAACTTTCTCTACATAGTACTAAGAGATGAATGTAGCTGAGTCGTCAGATATGTTTTAAATGTCCATAAGCTCTTTGTAGCCCGTTCTTGAAACCTTTCGAAGAAGTTGTCAGTTTTGCTAATAAGTGATGCTTAAGCGTCGATTTACGAATGTGTCATCCTCATCTTTGACTGCAACAAGTGTCCTTGGATTAATGAAACTAACACTGACAGTATTTGCTGGAGAATTCGTTATTGCATGACAATAGGGAAGCGTGCTACATATGTGAACATTTTTATACAGACATTGTATTTGTCTCTGTTTTTTAGATAGAACTTATCCTTGGCTTTTAACTCTTGTATGTATTCCTCGTGTAAGACAAAATTCAAATTAATATATGTCATTTATACAACGCTTACACTCTTTGTACACCTTATTTTTACGATTACAATTTTTAGTTTTCTTCATTCTCTTTAGCTTGAAACTCTTCAGTAATCTTGGTTTATTGCCTTTAAACATTTTTTTTAATAATTACTACAAAAGTAGGAACGGTACATTACATTGATCATTAGTTTCCAACGAACTCTATGGTCTACTGTAAGACACAACCTTCCGAGGATTCAAGGTCGAGGTTCAAACCCCGTCTGCCGTAAAGTATATGTAGATCTAGGGTGAGCGAAAAAGTAAATCAGACAATAGCGCTGGTCAACATTGCATAAGGAGCATTTCTATTACTGAGTTTTGCTCAATGGAATGCGGCACTTTATATAATTTCAGAAAAAACATGCTCTTCGATAAGTAGGAGGAAGGAGGAATGAGGAGGAGAGAAAATAAAAAAAGAGATAGGTTCTAACGCAAAAGGCCACTCTCGAGAAAACTAAGTGTTTAGATAACATTTCTTTATGAATCCCTAGGAGCAAAGAATCATTTTCCTAAAATTTTAATAGTCTGGAAATTCAAAAGCAAACGGAACGCCCTTAGAATCTCTTCTTACCACATAGCACTCACTCTCCAACTCGACTTTTTGTATTCCCACCTGCCGCGTACACCAAGGTGTGTTTTCAGAGACGCGAACTACTGACCTTACGCACAGGAGGCTGTAATGGCCAGACAAGCTACTCGCTCCACATCGAAGACTCTTGGTTTTCTGGCATATTTACTCATTTATATAAACGTTCAGATCAAATTTGAACCCAAGATGATGCGATCACCCTATGGACAATCACAAGTGTTCCTCTCGCTATGCAAAGAAAACAACAAGGAATTGAGTATGGGCGTATGACTGATGAAAAATTGTTCACGTTTCTCGTGCTTAGAAATTATGCTGTACAAAATTTGAAATAAAATGGCACAAAGTTTCTCACAAAACTATTTACTTATAAAAAACCACATACAAAACTTTGAAATAGTTCGAGTAAGCTATGCCCTGCCACTACCGCAAACTAATAGAATGATAACAATTTTAAGTATTACTGTGCTTAAATATGGAACTCAACTCTAAATGCAATTAGGAAAGCAGAACACTGCCATATATTCAAAAGAAAATTGCGCTTCGACATATCTTTTATTTTCATTTCTTTGAGTAATTTATTAATTGCTGTATTTGGGTTATAATATAACTTGTATTACGATAAACCTTGAATGAATATGCAAAAAAAAACTGACTATATTCTTAATTTTTTTGTAATTTTTTTTGCCATTTTCACATCCCTCTGTGGAAATGAGGGTAGCGTCGATAAATAATGTTCTGTCTATCTATTAATCTCATCTCATTGTTAAAGACTATGTTAATTGCCTACTCTAGATAAAACTTATATTGTTAGCTACAAAGTGCTTTGGTGCTTGGTACTTGAGCACACGTCAGGTACTTGTTTCTTCAACAATCACGAAATGCATGCTGCGTCGTCAAATGTAGTCAAATGTAATCGGATGTAGTTTAATACAGTCATAAGAGACGACATTTAAAAATTCGTTATGTAGTAGTGAAGTACATTTGAAAAGGTCGTAAATTATTGCTAGGAGACGGCATTTAAAATATCATTGTAAGTTTAATTATTAAAGGACAACATTGCCTTGAAACATGAGTATGATTACTTGACGCATGAAAAGTGGAGGATTTTTTATCCAACGTCGTACGCCTTGGTAAACGTGCATAAGTTGGTGCTAAAATAACGATTACAAAGTAAAAAATATGGCAACAGTTTCTACGGAATTGTGTGATTTGTAAAAGCCATTACAATTCTGTTATGTTTGATAGTACAAAGTATGTGAGCTATGTCTAAGCAGACAAATTATATAATCCTAGCTCACAAAATATAAACGCCATTATGATTTAGCTACTACAAACATGCGCGTTACTTTTTTGATACACCATATGGCAATGCCAGACATTTTACATACTTTATTGCTCTCCTTCCTTATAGTTACAATTTAAATTGTCTAACTATGTCATTTTTGCCTGTCAATGGCCAAGTAAGTTCAACCGTACAATGATGTCTTCAACCGTACAATGATGGCGAAGAAGCATTAGTCAAAGTATACTCTATAAATTTTTAACCTCAGTTGAAAAACAAGGCAGTATTGTTTTGTCGCATTCACTTGACATACTGTCAACGGGATGGTATGTTTCTCGTCTGGCTGAGTGGTATAGTTGCTGGTGCGGTGATCACACCATCCCAGGTTGAAATCCTTGTTATTTTCTTTGTATAGCGTGAGGAACTCTTGTGGTTGTCTATAGGGCGATTGCAACATCTTGAGTTCAAAACTGATCTGATCGTTTTCTTCCACTTCAAAGTTTAAAAAAATGAGCAAATACGCCAAAAAAAATAAGCAAATAAGCATTCGATGTTGAGCGCATAACTTGACTGGCCATTACTGTCCTCCTGTGCATAAGAACTATGTTTCACTCCTCTGACAATACATCTTGTACGCTGCAGGTGGGAATACAAAAAGTCGAACAGGGGTTTGAGTGCCAGGTTATAAGAAAGGAATATAAGGGCGTTCTGTTTGCTCTTGAATTTGCTTCTTCATCGACTTGAATTATTCCATTGTTTTACCCTTGCATTTACATGCTGTTATTTCCTGCTCGTTTCTAAACTGGATTGTTTCAGATTTATTTTTATGTATTTGCATTTTTGTTATGTTTGCATCGTAATTTATAAATCTCAAAAACCTGAAGGGAAAAATATCTCTATATTGATGGTTTTACGTTTTTCATTATGTATTTAATCCACATGATTTTTTATTTTGTTTAACATTCGTTGTTCGTGCTTGAACAAATCACTATAATAACCATTGACTTTATAGCTAGTGGTTTTGATCAAAGTTCCATTTCTTGTGCAAATTAAATTCACAAATGTTGTCGACTTTGATTATTTATACGTGAGATACAATGAACAAATCAGCAATCAAATTCAAATGTTGTTAGTAATGAGCAAGAGTTAAACGGTATATACGTTTACCTCAGTACGCAAGTTTTCTTTGTTGAACAACAAATCTTTGAAGTATATATGGTGACGATATACACTTGTCACTTTTCTGTAATTTTGTTCAACTCGACTTGAGTGACAATGACGCCTCTTAGTACTAGATAAGTCCAACAAATTTAACGTATAATGCTACATTAGGTCTTTTTGATAGCCAACACCAAACCAACAGCTTTCGATCTCTTCAGTTATTTACACTTTTACGACTTCCCTCTGATGGTTTGTAATCAAAGATAACCTCAAGAATAACAAATGATTTTGGCTGCTGGTTATGAGCAGAAAAGCTTGCTTGAATAAAAAGGGTCGCGATCAAAAGAATACCTTGTGCACTAAAATTCACATATCTTCACGAGTTTCGTTGTTTATCGCTGAAACTCAGCACATCGGGAATCAAACGTTACGCTAGAAAAACTTAATCAAACTTTTGTAGTTAGAAAGTCGGATGAAAAGCATCCACTGAAGAAAAGGAACTCTCCAAAATGTTTATATAGAAGAACCCGTCTTTACTTTGGCCAACGAAATAGACATAAATGTGTATCTATTATTGATTTACCCCTCGTTTTGTAAAGCCCTCCAGTGCGCAAAATATTGTCAGCTACGTGCATGTATTACATATCTTTGTGACAAACATAAAAACGCTCTGCTACTGAGAGTTTAACATGACTTCTAACAACAAATTTGAAAAACAAATGCACCTGGAATTCAAAATAGTGATCAGTTACACAAAACGACGCGTTTTGAGCGTGGAAAAGCTAAGCCACTGCACCAACTACTGTTCCACTCGGCAATAAAAGAAACATGCCAAGCAGATTACAACATGTCTAGAGCTTGAGATAGAATAACATTTATTGCCGTCTATTGCCTCGCACTCACATTACATAGTTTCTTTGATTTAGCTTCATAATGTCTTTGAAATAAAGTCGAAATATTGCTTTAAATATTGTCTCTTGCTTTTTTAAATCGAATCTTGAGTTTACAAGATGATGTGTTTTATAATTTACTTTGACTTATGCTTAGTAACCATGAAACCATCATTGCCAAGTTGAAGAAAGGGATTCACTTGAGGTTCATGTCGAGCTATAACATTGTTAGACAAGTCATGTTCTATGTAGAAAAACAAGTCGTGTAGTGACGTAAACTTGACGTCACCAAGTCTTGTTAAGGCTGTGAGCCTTAACAAGATTTTGTGCATGTTACAGTTGTATGGCAACAACTTTTTGAAATGTCGTTCATGTCTTCTTTTCAAAATGTCGTTCATGCCGTCTTTTGGAAAAGTTGTCGGAAAATCATAATAGTAAAAATAAGGCGTACATAGAATTTAAGCGTTTTAAAAATTTTTTTATGTAATCTAGGTTAGGTCATGCATGTATCTATGACCAAACTATAACGAGAGACAAAAACAAATAAACAATATACAATGTCAGGCATTGCTACGTGGTGATTTAGGACGACAAAAAGAATGTTCATATTTAATTTGGGAAAAATAGAATAAAATTGAATTCAGCCAATGGCAGAGATAGAAAGAGAACTGTAATTCTGATGTAGGTATTTACCACACGATTGTCAGCTGAACAAATGGTCTTGATTTTACGTCGAAAGAATAACCTTAATTGTCTGCTTTCAAACAAAATTAGGAATGACATAAATAGGTTAAAATTGTCCAATTAGAATATGTTAAAATGGTAAATTCACAAAGAGTTAAAATTTTCACTAACTAGAGACTAAATTTTCAAAAAACAAAGTCTTTCTCGGTCATATCAATAGCCCAAGCGAACTTTTGACGTTGCGTCTTATTGTAAATTTTCTCAATAGGGACATCGTTCTTTAGACACCTAAATCATACATTTACAGTTCAAGAATTCAAGTTAACATCAGATCAATCAATAAACTACGACTTTTAATTTAAAAATGATGGATATGAAGATATTTGGATCTTACCAAGCAATCGATATTCTCGGATCAAGATAATTTAACTTGGATGTCCCAAGAGCAATTTCCTTATTTTCATTCTAATCAACAACAGCAGAACATTGTGAAGACAACAATAAATATGAATGGCCAAAAAATATTTTTAAAGTGGTTTTTGGATTTTTATAGAAATATGATATTTCATTTGGTAATACAAAGTCAATACAAAGGGCTTCTCAGACGTTGTTTTATAATGCAACAGTAATGACTAACATCCACAAGAAAGATTGATATACTAAAAAGACGGGATGTCTAAGTGATTTAAAATGTGCGTGCTAACTAAAGCAAGAGAAGGATACACTAGTTAATAAATAAACTATTTATTTTTGTTGTGTAACTTATATCTATTGTTTTACTACTTTGTCCCATGATGTTACCTACATTGAACTTTTTTTTGCCGTTGACAATTCCTTTATGACTTTATAATAATGTAAGGATGATTATGAGCATTATGTAATGTCTGCATGTTTTGATAAAAAAATATTTTGACGCCACTTTAGTACGAAAAAACGACAGTATTTTCAAAACTTTTATTCGCAAGCATGTTTCAACTTAACTACATATCATCTTCTGCGCGAATGGATAATTAATTTAATTACAGCGTGGAATACATAAAATATGATACAGTAAGGTATTACACACATATTCCACAATGTAAATAATTTATCCATTAGCACTGAAGATAACTTATAGTTAAGTTCAAACATGTTTGCAAATGAAAGTTTCTAAAATACTATCATTTAGTTGTAATGTTTAGTTAGTATTGTGCTGATAAGATCATATAAAATTATGTAAAGCTGAACAGGTGTGGCTGTCTAAGTTTACCAGAACGGATGGGGTAATAAAAATCACGGAATCTGACCACACCAAGCATGCATTTACATGTAGCAAATCAGAGAACAAATTGACTTAAAGAACAAATTCAACCAATTCTGTAGCATGTAACAGCGAAAACGTACATACCTTATCTGTTTGTGAGACTTCCAGTTTAAACAATTGTTCCTTTAAACGTTCTATGGCGACCTTTTTCCTTTCGATTTTCCTTAAAAAAACAGTTGTTTAAAATCCTTCATGACGACATCAAACATCTCATTTCCAATACTAATGCATAGAAATACAAGTTTTATCATCTTGTAGGACATATGGTACATTACAAAATATACCTTCGTCCCATTTGCAGAATTCTCATAAGGTGAGTTTAATTTTGAGAATCTTAAAAAATATTAAAGTTTACTGATTTCTTTAGCGTCGTATTTTGAAGACACATACTTTGCAAGTGTTACTGAATCGCTTCCTTTAGCTTCACGTCTAAGATCCTTTAGTTCAACATTCCCATCCTTTATGGCTTTTTTCTTGTCGTCAATCTATTTCAACAAACATTATTTGAACTACATAATCTTACTTGTTCACGTATGATATCACGTGTTTATCACGTGAAGGTGGAATATCCATAAGCAGACTTTACCTTTTGCTGAAGATTTGACATAGATTGTTCAAACGTCTTTGGAACGGATCGCTACACAAGAGAGAACGAACATAAAGCTTTAAAGTAAATTGCAAACATAGTTAACACACGATCATAACTAAAATTAACTGTCGCCGCATTTTACTTTTCACAACCATAAAATTTTTTTCTTAAGTCTTAACACAAATTTTTTCATGCAGTCCATGTTCACAAGACTACACCTGATGGTTACATAAGATGGCGACAGCTCTGTTTGCGCGATTATAACCCAAGACTCTTGCTGCAACATTATCTTCTAACTCAAGTTTATCCAGCTGTTCTTGTAAAGTCATTGATGCATTGTATGTACGGAAGACCTTGGCACTGAGGCCTTCCATTAGATCTGAGAGATGTTTGTTTAATGATGTTGTCTGAGGAAGAACACAGACTATGAGTTAGATCCATTCAATAGATATATATTAATAATAAATTAGGGAATGTTGAATGTAAATCGACAGCAGATAATTGAAGCAATAGTTTTAAAGTTCTCAACTCACAGTCAGCCTATCAAACAGGTCGTCTCCGTCAGTTTTCCCTTGCTGAAACAATTCTAAATTCTTGAACACCTACGTATATAAAGTAAAATAGAATTGCTGAACACTAATAAGAAATAAATTAGAATCGCAAAACACTTAAATGAAGTAAATTATAATGACTAAACACCATTAGAAAGTAAATTAAAATGCTGAAATCCCATGAGAAATTATATATTAGAATCACTGAACACAAAAATAAGTAAACTGAAAAGGCTACAAACAGTTTCTGATGTCTACATTCTTATCTTAACACTTCCAACTATATGCATGATCAAGGCTCACAAACGCATTCTTCATTTTTCTCAAAATAAGAAATGCTTACAACATTAAACTTACATCACAACTAAATTTTACCTTTTTTTCAACAGGTACAAAGTTGTGATAATGAATGGAATCTTTACCCAGAAAATCAAACTCAACTACGTATTCTTTGTCCTCGAGTTGTTTATGAAGTTCTTAAAAATAGAAAATAAAAATATCAACAAAAAAAAGATGGATGCTTTTGGTAGGGTAACTAAAACATGTCTTTTTGTTAAAAATGGCTCAAGTTTTCGAAAGTTGATACGCCAGATTGATAAAATAGTGACTGTTAGAGATGGTCATACGTTAAAATAAAAATTGCTAGTTAACGCGATCAAAACGATTTTTACTAAAATCATCATCAACAGTTCTTCTCGGAACTTCACTAACATCGACAAGCCATAGACAGTATCAGTTTCAAACCATTTACTATAGTTGTTCCACAACTTTTTTTCTCGTATTTGTTATAAGATAAAGTAAACATTTATATTTTGTAAACAAACAACAAACAGGAAGAATAAGTGTCAGCATTTTCGTTTTAAATGCCATAAAAAAACTTCCGGCATATTTTTTTCTGTGTCAAAGAAACCAATATGTATGAATAGATAAAAAGATTATTTTAACAAGTTGACCTCATCACGAGAAGCTGAAATGCAGAAGGTGTGTGGGAAAAAGACTGGGTTTGCCTCAAATTTGATTGTTTGCTATAATAGCTATTCTGATCGAACAAGGAGAAACTTATTATGTACAGTAAATAAACATACTTATGTGCTCATATCTTAGTGAACAGCAACCCACTGTGTCAGCGGTATCTTCGTCCTTCTCGTGACCAGCACGAAGAGCAAGCTAATGGAGGAATATAAAACACCTAGATGGTAAAAGAATGTTCAAAAGCAGAACAAAATGTTCAAATAAAACCATTACCTTATCAATGAAATACAACGCTACACCTCTGGAATAAAGAAATAAAAATGCTGTTAACTTGTTCAAAAACAACACCAGCACCTAGTTAAATAAATCAACCCCTAACCGTCAAAGGCCACATATTTCAACGTGACTTCTAAGTACAAAATATATTCCACTATTTTAATTGTGCAAATTAAATATGTTTAATGATACTTCAATCGAAATATAGCTACTTTTTACAGTTAATCAAAATTTTTAATTGGCACAATAAATATTTCGGAACATCGTTTGTATCGTATGAGTTGAAATCATCAGCTGACAATGAATATACCTTTGTCTTATACGCATTTCCTTAGATTTCCAATCATTCCTATATCCTTGACGGATTTGACCAATTAAACCCTACCAAAAACATTATCAATCAACACGACATCTCTTGCATCCCAATACATACTTCGGAGTCTTGGATAAAGAGAATGTTTAGATTTGGGATTCTGAATTTGGACTTCAGACAAAGATTTGCGGATTGCTGAGCAAAGTCGCATTTCAGATTATCATAATTGGATTCATTTAACAGTTTTATGCACACAACAATATGGAGAGACAAATCACATAAAATAATAAAAATGGTTGCACATACCTTTAATTTACGCGCGGTTTCATACTTCTGCCAATCTTTTTCTCCCTACATTATCAAAACTCATACTTTGAAAACAACATCATTCTGCACATCACAAATCAACTATCACATATTACTTACCTTGATCCTTGATGTTGGATTTAACATGACGTACTTGTAACTTCCCTGGATATTCTCGATCCAACATGCTAACCACGTAACCTAATAAATGGATGAGAAATCTCATATTGCGAAAATTATTACCAAGATTTAAAGTAGATCCATATATATCCATCAACAACACTGCATGTCAATCAAAGTCTATACATATCCCTCAATGTTCATATTCAACGAACATAATTTGTAAGGAAATGTACACAGTCATCAACAACTATCACACCTTATTATCATGCTGAACTGCTTTCCATCTTTGCCCGTTAGGAGGATGGGGAACTTTCGCATCTCTACGTAAAAAGAGACGTGACGGCGTTAGTTTTACAGTGTAGAAAACATTTGCATAGTTATTTTTAAGATGCGCATTTAATATACACGACGACTTTTTTAGAATAGACATGTTTCGACATCTCATCATGCCGTCTTCAGTATGAGTGAGATAATAAATGATACAAAGTTTATATAAAAGTAATATGATACAGAAATTACAGCAATAAAAAGGAAATAAGATAAATTAATGGAGAGCGTCCGAGCGCATTATAAACTAAATATTGCATTGAATTTAAGAACTTGAACATTGAGGTAAGGGCTAGTTTTGTTAATGTGGAGTGCTTCTTCGATTTTAAGGGAGAATGAGGTGTCGGCAGTGTCGATGATTTTGAAGCAAGAGGGTGAATAGTTGGTTTTACATAGTGAGATTTAAGAAGGTGTCTGTAGATATGAGAGTTTTTATCTGTTGTGGTATGTTCCCTGATTCTGGTGGATATATGGCGCGAAGTTTCGCCAATGTATCGGGAATTACATCCCGCGCAATTGAATTGATATACCACCATAGATTAAATCGAATCAGGGTGTATCAGACCGTATAACGATATCTTCTCCAGAGGTTCTCAACCCTCACGCTTCTATGGCTTACCGAAACCTCACAAGAAACGAGAACCAGAACAATCGCCTCCACTACGACCGATAGTTTCATCAATCAACGCATACAAGTATCTTAGTTCTCTACTAACACCACTCATACCAGATGACCACTTCACTAAAGATTCTTTCACTTTCCTCGACGATTTCTCATCTTTCAACTCATCAACTTCTTGTCACAAATTCTTCATCTCCTACGACGCTGCAAGCCTATTTACTAACATACCACTTACTGAAACCATCAATCTAGCAATTGACTTAATATTCACTCACAACCCCAGGTTCAGTATAAACAGGACAGACCTCACACAACTGTTTTAATAGCAACAGCACAGACGCATTTTTTATTTAATGGTAAATTTTATGACCAGACGAATGTTATTGCGATGGGCTCTCCCTTAGCACCCATACTTGCTAACATTTTCATGGGCTCACATGAACGAAACTGGCTAAACAACTACAACGACACTAAACCACTATCTTTCCGCAGATACGTTGACGATATTTTTTGTGTTTTTACTAACGAAACTGAGGCCATGAAGTTTTATAATTACATTAACACACAGCACGCAAACAATAGATTTTCTTTTGAAACTGAACAACAAGATCAACTGCCATTTCTTGACATGTTACTAACAAAATCTCACGACAGCTGTACAACATCTACATACCACAAACCAACGTACACAGGACTTCTGACGAACTATTTTAGTTTCACACCACTTTCATACAAAACCGGACTTATACGCACACTAATCGACAGAGCATACAAACTTAACAATACGAACAATGGCTTTCAACGAGACATAAAAAACATCACATTTACGAAACTCAGTCCCACTTCACTTTACTAACAGAACCGTAAAACGATATCTCGACAACAAACAAAGCAACAATCTCAACTTAGACACCAAAACTCCAGACACGACGATCACAACCAACACAAATGAAAATTCCAAAATAACAACTCTATATTTCAAACTACCATATATCGGACATTACTCACGACACACACAACGCAGACTTAAAAACATTAAGAAACGCTTCTGTACAGGTATTGACATTCGACTAATTTTCAAATTATTCAAAATCAAGACCTTTTCTCATTCAAAGACCCAATCCCTGATTCGATTAAATCTATGGTGGTATATGAGTTCAATTGCGCGGGATGTAATTCCCGATACATTGGCGAAACTTTGCGCCATTTATCCACCAGAATCAGGGAACATACCACAACAGACAAAAACTCTCATATCTACCGACACCTTCTTAAATCTCACTATGTAAAACCAACTATTCACTCTCTTGCTTCAAAATCATCGACACTGCCGACACCTCATTCTCCCTTAAAATCGAAGAAGCACTCCACATTAACAAAACTAACCCAGACCTCAATGTTCAAGGTTTTAAAATTAATACAATATTTAGTTTATAATACGCTCGGACGCTCTCCATTAATTTATCTTATTTCCTTTTTATTGCTGTAATTTCTGTATCATATTACTTTTATATAAACCTTGTATCATTTAATATCTCACTCATACTGAAGATGGCATCATAAAATGTCGAAACATGTCTATTTTAAAAAAAGTCGTCGTGTATATTAAATGCGCATTAGCAATAGTGCTTTTACGAAATTAATTTCGAAATACTAATTTTCCTGTTTACCAATTAAGAAGACAATCTAGATTTTTCGTGGAGGAGTTGAAAAACTCGAATACTTTTGCGCGAACAAACGCGAAATATGATCTAAATCACTAACTTGCCAATATTAATGATGATATCTTTAGCCTGGAGTCTTTTCTTCAGTTTCCCCTGCTTCGGATGGTCGCCTCTTCCTCGGAAAAGCCCGGGAGGTTCGATCTTAAAATTCCCCACTCTTTCTCGATGATTATCCATCATGCAGTAGCCATACTCCTGTAAAATTTCTTCATTCTTTGCTTTGATAACTTGTTTCTCCTCTTTAGTCATGTTTTTCCTTTCTTCGTTTTTCTAAACACAAACACCAGGAAATCAATAGGAGTTAAATATCATCAGTGGGGTTGGGGCCGTGTTTTACAAAACACGAACTAATGAACAGTAACCCGTTTGTTAATTTAGTTGGGGGAGAGGACGCTACACTTCACAAAACACAAGTTTATCTGGGTAGGAAATGTATTTAAATCAGCGAGTTTTAAAGTCAAAGTTATCTAATAAATTAGAGAGCACGAAAACCTTCACAATCAAGATATGGATGAAGTAAAAGAAACAAGCAAAAACAATAAAATAAAAAGCGCTGCTTCTTTCATCGTCTAAATTAAAAAGAACCTTATTTTGGATGGTAGACAAATATCCAACACATGTTGACACTTTTCCAGTCAACTTTCTTACAACTTATCAAAAATGTCAGTTCACCGCTCAAAATAATTTGGTCACAAAAGTTCCTTAGTTCCAACACAAAGAAAAACTATCATTACCTGAACATAATAAGCATTAATTTCTTTGAAATTACATTTACTGAGGTCTTTAATCGTCCCTCGCTCTCCATCCGTCATTTCTTTTCTCCAATCTTGAAAGAAGTTGTCGTTAAAAATCTTCTTCGACGTGTATTCATGGTCCAACATCTTTGCGTAAAATCCTGCCACCTGATGAAAAAAAACTCGAAATAATAAAGAGATACATCGAAGATGTATCCACGATGGTTTTGTAGGTTTGGGGAAGAGTGCTCTTGGTTGGATTTCAATGGCTACTTGTTAATGCAGCATTCAAGAGTTTTTTGTCCAATTATGTTACATATTATCGTAGGGATATTTTTTAAAGTGTGCTCAATTGAACACTAACCAGTAATGCTTTTGCTTAGTTGTTTGGTAAATTGGTATTTTGTGCATAAGTAATTAGTAGCCGAACTGTACTTGAGAAGTACACAACTCTCTTCTAAATCCATATTTAAGATGCATCAAGAATTCAACAGCATTGCTTTCGGATATGAGAAAAGAACGTGGAGTTTATTTAGTTCATTTTATTTCTACTCCTGATGCACAGGGTCCCATAAAACAGCCGAAAAAGTGCGTAAAGCATGACCTTTGACACATTTTTTAACTACTGAGTAACTCGACTTATAGTCGCCATTTACCATGGCAACTACACTCTTTAAGTAATATAGCAACAATATATTCTAACCTCTTCACTTTTGGGAGAAAGTTCTATTTTTACACCTAAAGAATGACAACCGAAAATAAACGAATGCTATAAAATTAATTTATTCATTTTCAAATTAAATATTTATCATAAATATGAATACTATGTTATAAAAATATGATCATAAGCTCTTACCGTCGTAGTAAAAGTTGACATCATGAGGAAGAGGTTCATACTCCGGTGGGAAGTATGGCCCCTTGTGTTCTAGTGTGAGCCATTTTATACCTTCCGGGTGTTTTTCCTCCTCCCACCTGCAGCACAAAAACACGAGTTAAGGTGAGAACAGTGAACTGTAAGATTAACTGGAACTCTGACTTCAATACTTGGGCTAAAGGCCATTTTGAAGCCATCTTTTTATCTGCGTTTATAGGCAAATTACCTAATCTCGTGAGATAAAACTTATTATGGCCATTTGTGCCACTGTATTTTATGAATATCGTTGTTTATTTTTGAAAATAGTATCATGGAACTTCTAAAAACGCAGAAAAACTAGCATCAGTATTGGCTTCAAAGATGGCGGAGCAATTAGCGTTCCAGTTAATATTACAGTTCACTGGGTAAGAGTCGTGCCCAGGATTCTCACGCATTTTGGAAACTTTGACTTACCATTTCCAAACTTCCTCAGCCTTCTTTTCTTTTTTCTCCTATAATGGAAACACGCATGAGTTACAACTCCTTACCACAAAAGATAGTCCTAAACATAGTTATACCGTTTTCACAGTTTCTGTTCCTTTCTTCGTCGTTTCTTTACTTGTCTTGGTCGTCTTCTGCTTCTTCTTGTCTACACCATCTTTAACACCAACATCAAATTTCTTCTTTGTTTTTTTCTGCAGCGAATGGTTCAAAATTGCAACCAATTGATAAACATTACGAGAGAAAGGAAAAACATAATCGCTGATCTAATACCGCTGGCTGGTAATCATCTTCATCTTCTTCGTCATTTGAGCCTTTTCGTTTTCTTTGGTTGACAGATTGCTTTTTTTGCAAACCAATCTTCGTCCTGAATACCAAAAAATACTCAAGACTAAACGGTATGGACAAAAAACATTGGAAAAAACTTTCGTTATACAAACCTTGAAGCCTTTTTCGACATAAATAAAAAAAAAGAAAACAAAACGAAATGAGAAACGGCATAAAAACCAATCAAAACTTAAAGTGCCCCTCCCCCCGGAAACTTCATGCCATTGAACTGACAACATAACTGGACGGCAAGCTTTATTTAGACATTGCTGAGCTTACATGACATTTATATTCAAATCAATGCTTTATTCATACACCGAAGTCACATGACATGAAAACTTGCAAACGCGTCAAATTCGCAAGTTTAAAATTTCGGTTGGATTTTTAAACTTTGTTTCGGAATGCAAAACAATCGATTCTCGTGTGAATGTTTGACATACGAATAAAATAATAATGTGATTTCAAACGTTAAACAACAAAAGTAAAAAAAATACCAATGGCACATCATCTTCATCTGAATCTGAATAACTTCTTTCCTTCTTCACTTTCTTTAACGTTTCCTCCTTGTTTTTATCGATTTTTTTCATTCCTTCTTTTGTCCCCCGGTCATCTTCCTCGCCATTTCCAGTCTCCACGGCATCTTCCTTCTTCACTTTTTTATTAATTTTAAGTTTCAAGGAGCTATTTGAGGAGGATTTCTTTGTAACATTTCCTTTTGAGGAACCATCCTTCTTGACGTTCCCGCTATTTTCATTTTTTAAGTTTGTGTTCGACTTTGCGGAGGTTAATTTCTCTGCTTTGGCAGGACTAGGCGTACTCTGTTTTTCCCTCTTTATTTCAACCGAGGAGTTTGAAGAAGATTTTTTAACTACAGATGTTTTGGAACTTTTTAAGTTGTCGGACTTGTGTTCAGAATTATGAATTCCAGGTTCTGTTTTTGTTTTTTTCACGCCTAAATCAGTTTTACTCGATTTAAGTTTCAATTTCTTAACGGTTCCCGAGTTTGCATTCTTCGTCGGTTCCTCTCGGTTCAATTTCGGAATCTTCTCGGATTTCGGGGAGATGTTTGACGGGTTTTCTCTTTTTATTTTTTTGAGTTTTTTCACGAATTCACCATCTGCATTTTTCATTGGTAAATTTACTTGATCGTTGCCGTTCCTAATCAAAGAAAAGTCACAGAAATAAACACAAGAAGGAAAGTATACAATGCTGATTCATAAAAAAACTTTAGCACGCATGTCAAGTGAGCAGCAGCGTGGTGCGAGACATTTTAATTGTAAGAGAAGAGGGGCAAATTTTACTGATGAGGAACACAAGATACTTGAAGTACTGGAATGGATTCAGAATGATTTTGGAGGTGGTGGTCTAGTTTGGTTAAGATTTGCAGCTATTTTGATTGTTGAATTTTGTTCCTCGCATATCATAAATGGGAATTGTCCTGTGAAAACTCATTTCTTGGAAAACAAATCAAAATTCATTATGCTTAACTGCTTGTAATATTTATGTATGTATCATAAAGAAATTATCCACCTCCCGAACCTTCACCCTCTCCCCCCAGTATTTCTGTTATATTTATACATCATAAACAAATTATCCATACCCTGCACCTTTCCCCTCCCCCTCAAGTATATCTACACCTAATGAAGAATGAGCCTAATGGCATAAAAACTTACGTCTGTTTGGCTCGAGAAAACTACAAAATAAAAAATGATGTAAATAAAAAAAGCGAGACGATAAAAAAGAGTGTATAAAACAAAAGACCAACACAAATTTATGATAAAAGGGTACTACACTAAAGGGCTTACGAAACGAAAATTTTTCTTTATGTAATCCGCAAAGGCTACTTTGTTAGGATTTGATAACAGGTCTGGTCTGACGTTTCGGCCAGGTCAACCGCGCTGAAATCACTCGAAACAAAAGATGTTTACTGTGTTTACGTAGGCTTATGCAAACCGGGGAGGCCTTTGAAATAACTCGAGAGCAGATCAGTGCAAGCCCAAGACCGAAGGTGGAGGGTTGCGCCTACTCTCAGATTCTCCCAAAGGTTTTCTCTCTCACCAGATCACGAGTTTCTCGAAATCACAATCAATTTATAAAGCTCAGTGACTTGTCCCTTATCCAGAAAGCGTGGGAATGACAAATAACAAAATTTTCCTTTCGTACGCACTTTGGAAACAATACCAATGATGTAATAACAATAACTCACCAGTGGAACGTCATCATAGTCGCTGTCGCTCATGTTAGCATCAGGATTTATTAAACATGACTACCAAAGAAAAAAAACAAATCTTACGCCTGTATTCTAAAATTTCACTCACACACAACCACACACTAAATGCGACTTTAAAATTACCTTATAATTAATCAAAGATGGAATTTCCGTGCTACTTATTGCTCACTTTGAAATATTATTACCAAAATTTAGCCATTGATTAAAAAAAGCGCAATTTTTAAGTTGCCCACAACGAGCGCGAGAATGTGCTTTTAGAATACGAGCATTAGATTTTTGAGCTACTAAAGGTAAGACAAACTCGTTTGTATTATTTTTTTGTTTTTCTGAACCTTATTCTCCGTCTTCTCTGCCTTTCGTTCTTTCTTCTCTGTGACTTTCTCTTTCTTTACGCCATTGCTATAAAAAATTAAGAAAATTAATGAAGAGTTTAAATGCTAAAGTAATGAAAAGCCATCCATAAAAAGCCAATTTAGAAAACTCACTTAACAGATCCACTCTTCGCCGACTTTGTTTGAAAATGAAAAAGTAGAGAAAAACATGAATATTTTGACAACCGCAACAACATTGTACATGCATCAGTAAAAATTGTTTAAATAACATACAGACAAACCCAGGTGCGACCTATCCAGTTTTATTTTCTTTGTCTCTGGAGCTTTTGCTGATTGAGGATGGTATAAATAAATTAGATAGGGCTGTGTTTGGATTATGGTCAAAATCAAGCAGAAACATTCTCCCATTATGTATGTGATATTCACAATGTAATTATTTTGTTATTTCTGGCTCCCCAAGCATTGATAATTAATAAAGACCTTACAAAGTATGGTATATTCATTTACACCTTACAAAGTATGGTATATTCACTTACACCTTACAAAGTATGGTGTCTTATGATAAGTATAGTAGTCTACGTATGTAAGTACAGTTTTTTGCCATCTTTCACAAAGATACAGTAGCAAATGCGCTATGTCACATGTGACCTACAAATTGAATATTAGCTAATTTGTCTATTTAAGTCCTTCTGACAAGTACCAATTACCTAGAGCTTTTATACGGCAAAGTAATAAAAAATACATAAATATCCACATCCAATAATTCTAATTAAAACTAAAATTGACTTATCAGAATTTTATAACACATTATAGAAGTAATTTTGAATTGTATCAATGCAGAATCATTTTCATGGAATCAATCAAAAACCTTTATTTATATTTTAATTCTATTTTATATTTCAAAGTGTATTTACATGTTTGTAAATGTAGATCTTCCAGGTTGGTATAGTCCTGTGAAGGACTGTTTTTGTAATTGTTGACTGACCTTTCGACAACCTTAGCGGTAGTCATCTTCAGGCTCTGTAGACTCTGTAGTCAGACTTTTTCACTCTGAAGATGACTACCGCTAAGGTTGTCGAAACGTCAGTCAACAACAACAAAAACAGTCCTTCTCAGGACTATACCAACTTGGACGATCTACATTTACAAACATGTAACGATACTCCCGGGTTCAAACCATTTACTTTAAAGTGTATTTACATCGAACAGAGCATTTAAATTGACTGTAGACTTTGTAAAACAGTCTTTTTTCATTCTCAAAATATAAAAGTTTTGTATGTGACTTACTATTTTGTACAACCAGTATAATCATATCACGCAATGAAATTTTGAGTTATTACAGGGCTATATTTAATGATATTTTATGTCAGGCAGGCAGCGATCCCTTCATTAAATAGTTAAATTCATCATATTAAAAACATCCTAAGCAAATATTGGCAAGAAACTGAACTATGTAATATGGCATAACTGGTTGTACAAACTTGGACACTCCAAAAACTTAAATATCTTGAAAATGAAAAGAGAAATGAACAAACTAATTCGGAAAATCTAGTATCTACCAAAACACTTTCCCCACTAATCCTACTAAGTAGGTTTTAAACCACCTAAGGGGAGGGGGACAAAAAAAAATTGCCCTAATTTATGAATTCTCGAGATTCCGGAAATTAAAGATAAAAATATGGCTGACGGCAGGCAGAGAACGCGAAGTCTTTTTTCACTTGACGACATTTCTCGACTAAAGTTTAAAGCAAAGAGCTCGCATCATCTACAGACTTCACTTCAACATGCAATAACCTAAAGACGTCCATTGTTCTTTCAACGGTAATACCCGTTAAATGAGAAGATAATTGTTTTCTTTATGTAAACACAAGACAACAAGGCGATGAGGCGCGGGTCAAACATGGGCTAGAGTCGTGATTTATTTACATTAAACAGGAATAAAATCTTCCGCAATCACGACTGAGGACGAATAAACGTGCGAACACTATGATTTTATGGCTAAGTAAATAAAACAGCTTCGTTTTTGCTTTGTATAGCCGTTATTCTCAAACAGTAGACTAGGTAGTCAGACAATGCACTCGAGTTGTGAAGTATTCTACTCTTCAATGGCTTCATATCTGGCTATAATCTATGCCTCTCGCAGCCGTACAAAGACTTAATGTTTTGGAAAAATCCTTGCAATGAAATTGACATGGTATATTTTATGTATACGCTAAAAGTTTCGTACCTTTCTCGCTGCCCTTGTTAACCGCGTCGGTCACGTCCATATCGCCTGTAGAAATGTAAAATTATAGTCTCGCTCTATATCACAAAATTACATGTAGTGCCGGCCATTGTCGACATTTTAAAGATAATATACTTTCAAATACTTTGTATATTAATTCAACTATGGTGTCAGTATTAAACGAAATAGCTTACCTTTCCTCAGTAAACTTTGAGAAAATTATCAACAGACTTGACCCTCGTTTCATACACTGCTGCTCTAATGAATGAAGACAAAATTTGCGAATTCAAAACACCACAAATTTCTCTAGGTTTCAAAACTCACACGATTTACTCACAAGGAATGGCGATTCCTCAACACGATCTTTAAAATAATGACAACAAAAGACGAACGACGTTTATAGGTATAGCCTTGGACCGAAAAATTCGTCGAAATTTTTCTAAGTGCCACAAATCGACCGACTTTGCCTTCACAAAGAAAGCTTCGCCTCAAAAATATTAAGTCTCTATTCGTATAAACTGCGCATGCGTCATCTCGTTGAACGGAAACGCATACTTAGCAAGCGCTTATAAGAATGTAAAAACATTTGGCGCAAATCAAGCCGCAAACTTCGTCTTTTCGAAAATTTATGGTCGAAATTGAATTGCTAGGGCTGGAAGGAATATTTTTTGTGAATAAGGTAAGTGCTTTTGCTGATAAATGTCCATGAACAACACAATTTACGTGTGAAATTTACAATACTCATTTGCTGTAATCAAGGTCTATCTGTATAAGACTAGAAATGAATTGTAATGGATGGAGTATGGTATTTAAATCACAGCGTGACTCATAATACATGTGAAAATTGTCTATTAATTTTTTGCTCCAAGGTTAAATCAAAGCAATCCTCTTCAGACATATGTTAGAGAAAATGCAAACACCAGATTCTCAATCACGTAACATATACACACACCGGCCAAGATACGAATCACCGATTGCGCAAACAGATGAATCTCCGAGGTTTCAGTTGTTCAATGATCCCATACATGGCTTCGTCGAATTTCATCCCTTGTTGGTCAACATTATTCACACTGCACAGTTTCAACGCTTAAAAGATATCAAACAGTTGGGAATCTGTTACTGGGTTTTCCCTGGGGCATCCCATAATAGGTGAGGTAATTGATTATTAATACTGGTAGCATTGCATAATTAAAAAATGGAATTGTACTTATATATTTTGATATTTTACATGATAAGATTTTTCATGGGGAAGGGGAGGGAGGATTTGTTCATTTACCGCCGATATTTTCCAGACTATGGCCTTAATTTTTACAATTGAAAATTATTAGTGGGATAATATTTTTTTGAAATACTTAAGAAGTGTCATTTTTTGAGGTTTTCTCACCCAACTTTTATGACATTGTTGCTCCTTTCTTATGCTTGTAAACTTAAAGCTCACTGACTAATACTCATCAAGTGTGACTCTGCTCTCACTGATCAACAACAAACTCAATTCTCTATCAATGACAATTTTTGTAAATTAGTTCAAATCAAGTGGAATTTGAAGCACCATTCAGTGAATGTGGTTGCGAGTTATTTAGAATACTGGGGCCCGTTGCACAAAGCCCCAGATAGTGTTATCCATTAGATAGCAAAAATTTTCAAACTTGTAAAAAAGGTGTATATGTTTTTCTTATAAAGAAGAAATTTCATGATTTTTGAAAAAATATTTTAATTCATTGATTGCTCATTTGGAATCTTATATTTTTTGCTTTTTAAAAGTTCTACGAAAGTTTCAAAAAAAGCTATCCAATGGATAACGCTATCCAGGCTTCGTAAAGCCGGCTGCAGGTTGATGATATATTAGTCTTTACCATACTGTACTTCATGTTACACAGGTTTGAACATTGTCTTGGAACTTCTTATTTATGTGGGAAGTTGATTGATACACTACAAGAGCTTCATCGTGGAGAGATTGAGATCACAGATAAAGAATGCTTGTGCATTAAAGTGGCAGGTCTCTGTCATGATCTTGGCCATGGACCATTTTCCCATTTCTTTGATGGTGTATATCTACCACAAGTAAAACCTTATTTAAAATGGGAACATGAGTCGGCATCATGTGACCTTCTTGATCACATGCTGCATTCGAATCCTGACCTTAGTGATTGTTTTATGAAATACAGTCTTTATGAAGAGGATATAAATTTCATCAAAGAACTTATAATGGGTAATTCTTTAAAAAGTTTGATTTATTTCATTTCAATTCAATTTCATAATTGTTAATTTCAACATTTCAGTATTCAGTATTCAGTATAGCATGACATAAAGTTTTTCAGGGGAATGGTTTTGAATGTTGAAAGCCTTTCTAAGGGAGGTGTCCAGATGCCTACTTCCTTTGAAAAAAATTTTAAATCTAGAGTCTCTTAATAGTGCCTTTCTCTCTTTCTTTGGTGAGGTTTTGCATTTAAGAACTAAGAGATGTTTACAGCGTATGAAGAGAACTCGAGAACGATGGTCAAGGGTTGCACCTGCTCAAGAATTCTCAACGTCTCAGAGGTTTTCATAAGCCAGTGCAAACGGGAAAAAAAAATTATTTTTTTTTTTTAAAAAATTTTTTAATTTTTCCTCAAAAATGTAGTCATGATCGATTTGCAAATTCTCTCTTTGATTGATTGATTGATTGATTGATTGATTTAATTTATTTGATTGGTTGAGCTCAGATGGTAAGGTCAGACAAATACGATCACTTCTACAGAACAATCAGCGCAATCAGTTTTATTGTTTTTATTTTGTAAAATTAGGTAGTATCATAAATAATCAACTATCTATCACTCCCTCCCCCTTCCCTTTCCATCTTTATTTCATTTCATCCCCAATTGTACTTTTCCGTGAAGGAAGACCTTCAGCCTATGAAAACGGGAAGCTCCCACCCTTCCCACTCTTTATCCACGACTCTTAAATGATCATTGATCAATGTCTTTCAGCTGGACAATATTAAAAATATCGGTAAAATGTAATTCCCTTCAGGCAAAGACCCGGATAAGGAAGACGTGACAAGAATATGTGACTTGACTCGCAAACCGAAATGGTTTCTTTATGAAATTGTGTCGAACAAACGAAATGGTATCGACTGTGACAAGTTTGATTATTTTTCCCGGGACTGCGCTAATGTTGGAGTGAAAAGTAATTTTGACCATCGACGCTACTTTCAAAATGTTCGCATCATGTCTATTGACGACCAACTTCAGATTTGCGTACGTGACAAAGAGGTGTTTAACTTGTACGAGTTGTTCCACACACGTTGGTCCCTCCATCACAGAGTTTATCAACACAAAACTCATGCACCAATAGAAGATTTGCTGGCTAGGGCGTTTTACAAAGTGGATAAAATCATGAAAATTTCAGAATCTGTGAACGATATGAAACGATACACCGTCCTAACAGACAGCATTCTGTATGATATCTTACGAAACGACAGCGAAGAGCCGGGTTTCAGAGAAGCGCAGGAGTTGATAAGATGTATACAAGAACGAAAAATTTACAAATTTTGCGGTCAGACTCAGCCACCATCAGGTTCGGAATGCCCCAGCAAACATGAAATCGCCTTAGAATTGATTAAAATATCAGATGAAGAGTTACGAATGGAAGGCATATTTGTTTCTATAGTTGATTTCAATTTTGGTATGAAGGATAAAGATCCAATCGATGCTGTGACGTTTTACAACAAATCCCATAAACCCGTGCGAGTTGGGAAAGAGCATGTGAGTCAAATGCTCCCGCAAAATTTTCACGAACGCTTCGTCAGAGTTTACGCCAAACAACCCGAGAATGCCCAGCTTTTACAGCGATGCTTTAAGGCTTGGTGTAGCCGGAGGAAGTACCCGGTGCCCCTTGGCCTGGAAGGGACAAGTAACGGGTATTTTTCTCCTGCGTTCAAATCAAATCCTTCTTCTCGTGATGGCAGTGCGCTGTTGCCACCTCGGTCTTTGAAGAGTATGTTTGATAAATGTGAAAGTATTTATTCATAAGAATGCGGAACATAAAAATTAATATGAATTACGGTAAATTGTCATGGTTTGAATATATTTAATAGGAAATAGACTGAAGTTTTTTATAAAAAGTACGAAAAACGGACATTGTTTTGTTGATAAAGTGAAATGGTTCTACTGTGCGTGGACTGAAAAGAACTTCTTACAATCTTAGTAGTTAATCGTTTTTAGTGCATGTTTTTAGGAAGGAACACATTCTGCTTAGCTTATACTTTAATACATTTAACACGCAACGCGCGGATAATTAAATTATCTTTATGCAGATAGCTGATTATCTGTATGTTTGAGCCCTCGATCGATTACTACAGCGGAATATATTTCTTGCTAAAATCGATAGAACTTCAAGACGAACGACTCGAACAGTTTCTTAGTCAAGTTTCTGACTGCAAGAAATACAAAATCGAAGAAAAACTTCATTTCTGCGACAAAGCCACATTGCAAGTTTGCTCATGTTATGTAAATATTTTATCGTTCTTTCACTGTAAAAACAATAGATTTCCGAAGAAATAAATAAAGTGATAAGGAAGCAAAATTATCAAGGTCTTAGCAAGTGATACCTCATCTAAAACGATACTTATGCCTTGATATTTCTGCCTAAATTGTCACAAATTCTTATCCAATACTACTCTATGAATTCATGAATTAAAAACATTAAATTAAGTCATTCAAACTGTCTCCTTTTATAGTTATACAATTTTTCTCACATAATATTCAATATTTTAGGGGGTGTTTACATGAGTCCGGAATGACTTTCGATCCGGAATAAACTCATTCCATTTCAAAAGAAATTCTATTGAATGTTTACATGAATCCGGAATGAGTCACAACTCGATCGGGATCGAGTTCATTCCTATTTTCATTCCGGATCGAAGTTTCATTCCGGATCGAAATTTAGTTTTAATCTCATGTAAACGCAAATTGAGTTTCATTCTGGAATGAGATTGTGATTAATGACGAAGCACGCATGCGCCATGCGTAGTGTCTTCTGGGAAGTTGAAGCTCATAAGCAAATAAGGCGGCTAAATGGGCTAAAATAAGTGCGAAGAAAAACAACAATTAGTTTCATGCGAGTGTTAAGCTGTATTGACACAGGAGCAACAGAAAAAAAGGGTTGCTATAATGTTAATGTTCGTCATCTTCAAATTTCAAAATTCCCGCGAAATGTCAATCCTTGTGTTGATTTCCAATGTAAACACGGTATGACATCACGTTTCGATTGGGATCGAAAGTCATTCAGAATTCATGTAAAAACCCTATAATGTCATCCACGTCCAAAGAAAAATGGTCCTTGCGAAACTCCAAGAATTTCGAGAATGATTTTCATTCGCTGTCACGTACGAATTTCTGAATATTAAATTGAGACATTTTTTACTTCGAACGTGTTTCGAACTTCACTCCGATAAATAAATTTTCAAAACCAACCATGTCTGCGAGGAAGAGAACATATCGGCACTTCAGTCTGCGCATGATGAATTTGCTGATGAAGTATTGTGCAAGATACGATATTAATCAAAGTGGCGTCTTATATAAATTAGGCTTTTATTGCACCATTCATGGCTAACAGACACATAAAACCCCTTATGTGAGGTTAATCACGATATTGCTAGCGTGAGAGCCTTATGTACCATATCTGAATTTTTGTAAACAAATGATGAAGATACGCGCCCCGTTTATAACGCGACTTTGATAGGTCAATATTCGCGAATGGTTTTGCTCATTTAATTTTAATTCTCTTTAAAGGTAAATATTTACTCATTAATAAATCAATAACTGGTTGTTTGTATATGTATGTAGTAGGCTAATGTTTTGTAGTAGGACGTGTGTTACGCCATAATTCACAAAAATGTGAGATAACAGAAGAAAGCAAAGAGCCCTTTTGTCTTTTAATAAAAGAAAATTCTACATAGCCAATAAACAGCTCGATACTTTGTTTGAGATTTTTCGAAATGGTAGAACGTAGGGCAGCAAGAGAAGCCAGTTACTTGACGGAAACGCTGGAGCTTCAAATATTCAACGATCCAATTCATGGCTTCATCGAACTTCATCCTTTGTTTGTTAAGATTATCAACACAACACAGTTTCAGCGCTTAAAAGATATCAAGCAGTTGGAACATCTGAGTGTGTTTACCCTGCAGCTATTCATAATAGGTGATGTAATAATATAAAGAATTTCTCCATTTTGTATATAAGTTCACTTTAACAATTAATCTTTAAACAGGTTTGAACATGCTCTTGGAACCTCTTATTTGAGTGGGAAGTTGATCGATACTTTGCAAGAGCTTCATCGTGGAGAAATTGAGATCACGGATAAAGAATGCTTATGTATCAGAATAGCTGGACTTTGTCGTGATCTTGGCCATAGACCTTTCTCTTTTTTCTTCGAAGAGGTTTACATGAAATTGATCCGACCTGATTTTGAGTGGAAGCACGAAGAAACTTCTTGTCAACTCTTTGATTTCATGCTTGATGAAAATCCCGAACTTAGGGAAGGTTTTAGGGATTTCGGTCTTTACGAGGACGACGAGTCTTTCATCAAGGAAATTATTATAGATATTGCAAATAAGTCATATCACTAGAGTGCAGAAATCACTCGATTTTTTCTACATTATACTTTGATCCTGATGTACACACTGGAAGTAAAATGCACGAAGTATTGTCTGTTTCATTTCCAAAGTTATCATAATGGTCGCTACTCTTCGGTCGAACATAAAAACCTTCGGATGTTCGAGTTAAGATTTTGTTCTGCCGATGAACCAGTTCAAAGCAAAGCCTTCTGTCTTTTAAAAAAATTCTCAAACCATGACCTTACAGGTTGATAATTTTTTGGGGGGTCGTTAAATTCTCAATGTCTATACGCATATTTATTTGACTTCTTGGAGCCTGCTTCCTCCCCCCGACTCCCCGCTTCACACTTCCATATCTAAAAAAAAATTATATGGATAATGCTATATTTGGGTTTGTTGAGACAAGCCACAATTTCGTGATTTCGTGCCCATTTAACTTTGATGGCGGGTGTTTTGCAGGTAAAGACCCCGATCTCGTGACCAGAATGTTTAATAACCAACCTAAATGCTTTCTTTATGAAATCGTGTCAAACAAACGAAATGGTATCGACTGTGACAAGTTTGATTATTTTTCCCGGGACTGCGTTAATGTTGGAGTGAAAAGTACTTTTGACCATCGACGCTACTTTCAAAATGTTCGCATAATGACTATTGACGACCAACGCCAGATTTGCGTACGTGACAAAGAGGTGTTTAACTTGTACGAGTTCTTTCGCACTCGTTGGTCCCTCCATCACAGAGTTTACAAGCACAAAACAAGAGCACCGATAGAAGATTTGCTAGCAAAGGCGTTTCAAGTCGTCGACAAAATTATGAGAATTTCAGAAGCTGTAAACGATATGAAACGATACACGGTCCTAACAGATAGTATTTTTTATGATATTTTGAGGAAAAAACACTGGAAAAATGCAGTCAAGAAAGCGCAGGAGTTGATAAAATGCATACAAGAACGGAAAATTTACAAGTTTTGCTGCCAAAGTCCGCCACAATCGAAGGAGAACTTCCCCAGTAAAGATGAGGTCGCTTCCGCATTGGTTGAACTATCAAAAGGACAATTGAAAATGGAGGACATATTTGTTTCCATAGTGTGGTTCGACTTTGGCATTAAAGGTAAAAATCCTGTTGATGCCGTGACGTTTTTCAATAAATCTCACAAACCAGTAGAAATAAAAGTTGAAGAACTTACAGACTTGCTGCCACAAAATTTCCATGAAATCTACGTTAGAGTTTATGCAAAACAACCAGAACAAAGACACCTTATCGAACAATGTGTGAAGAAATTCTTCTCCTAATATTTTTTTTTTGATTATTTTTGTATTCACAGCAATATAAACTCAAATTCAAAACCATTAAACATAGCATATTTTTTTGAGATTTTTTTGAAACAAGGTTATTTTAGAAACCTCTTGAACGCTTAAGAAATTAATGACGCTGTTATGGCTATGTCTCACTTTTGTAAAAACGCACTTCAATAACGTTTATTAATAACTTAATAAGAACAAAATAAGAAGAATTTAAAACACCAATAATTCTAATTGCATATGTCAGTATTCAAAATATTGGATAAACAGATTTTTTCTGGTCGTGTTTTGTGTTAGATCGCAGAAAATTTTGGGCTACCGACAAAATGAGTTAAAGAAGTCCTGTAAAGGTTTAGAGGTGACTTTTAATACTTTGTATTATGCTTTCCGTTTAAAATTTATTTTACTATACTTCAAAAATTTTTTTGACGAAATCTTAGCTAATAGATCTGGGTTGCAAAGTCAAAAAAATCTAAGACATATTTTGCGTTCTAACACTGACTATTGAAGTGTCTGCATGGAAGCCCACAGTTTTAGCTGTACCCACTTTTTTCGTCTTTCATCAGTTTCTGGACCAACTTTACATAGTTCTAGCGTTACAACTCCCCACAACCCAATATTGTGCGTTAAAGAATGTGTGTCAACCACGATGCATTTCGCATGTTTATGCTTGCATCGTTAGTTGAGCCATCGTTAAACTGAATCCTAGTTTGCCACTATACGTCATCTAATTTAGCCGTAAATCATCTAATTGTAGTTGTAAATCATAGACGTAGGACTATAACTCTTTTTGTCTTATCTACTCGTGGTATAATTCAATCTGTAGGCGAATCCAGTGTTGTGCAACTTTTCGTTTTGGCCTTCCACGCTTAGGAAACCATTTCAAATCAAGACTTTTAAAATTACTTAAAACTTATATTTTAAAGTTGTTGGTTGGTCAAAGTTCCATAATAATGGACTCTGTCGATTTCGACATATGAGGGTTCCACGAAGTGGAACATCCTGGTTACTTAAATTATAGTGAAGGCAGCTGACCAGACTACAATCACTCGTACCTTTCACGCAACTACAACGCTGATATCAGCGTGACACATTGTGACAAAGCTGCAACATTGCAGATGCAGATACAGTCCATCCGAGGACATAGTTTCCTCTACCAAATTTCCCTCACATGGCTTTGGTCAACCCGGGCTAGGTTTACAGACACATTGCCAGATGTGCCACGAGCCGGGATTGAACCCGCGCCGTCTGGCTTGCAACTCACGCAATTAACCATTCAGCCACCAGCCTCGTCCCTCAAAGTTCCATAGACAACAAATAGTAACACAAGCCGCCATTTTCGCGACTCAGAAAATGGCCGCCACACCGTGATCAACGCGTAATGCATCTTGGTTGACACACATTCTTCAGTCATTTCACTACCAAAATTTTATAGAATTTTAACACATATTAATGGCAGGGAAACCAAGCCCTCACCTTGAATCTTGATACCCAAGTTAAGATGGGCACATGTATGTTTCTTTATGATACGGTAGAGTCAGTTTTCTTTGATGTTCCGTAGACTCTGTGTAAGATTCATTTGTTCTGTTACATCATTAGCTATAATCGTCGCAAAGTTGTAGGAGATAGCACTGCGCATGAATCAACCTGTTGTGCTGCACATGTCAACCACTAGACACTGGTTTGATTATCGCTGTCGTGAATTTTGGTATCCATAAAATTAATAATTTCCACGTAAAAACTTGGAATAAATAATAGTTAAGAGTGAACTATGTCATCACAAGTTGCCTTTTTACTGAATTTCATTATTTTCTTTAGAAGCCTTCATAAGAACCACGATAGAATTAAATTTTGATTCACATTGTACAAGTAAACCCGATGAAATCATTCAACGTGAAGCTAGAACTAGAAGCATTCCTTTGCGATAGTATCTCTCAATGAATGGTCTCATGCAAATTTTGGAATAAATCCTTTCTTTGTTGTACAACTGCTTCCCCCACATAATGTTTTTAAAGCTAATAAAAAGCAGTTTACTCAAAGCACGATAAGTGACGCTTCTCGCAATTTTTCATAGAAGAAATTGATGTACTTTGTATGTCAACCTCGTGAAAAACCCGTTGCTAGGGAGAGTAAAAAGCTTATTTCAGTCTCTTTTGGGGATGGGGAAACTATAATTGATTTACAAAAAGTAACTTCTGCTTGCGATTTTAGCTTTAGTGTGGTTTAAAGAGTAAAAATACAGTTTTTAAAAATTCATCAAAATTCAAAAAACTACTGTATCAATTTGGATCTTGCTACGTTAAATACATAAAACACTAATAACTTTCGTAGGCCTTCTCGATCCAACACACCAACTATGTCACGTAATAATCATTATGAACTACACATTGATGAGCAGTAATAAATTTGGAAACTATTGGAAATTTGGAAACCGATGTCCCAGTTAGATTTATCTATATCCATCAATAAAACTACAATTCAATCAATACCCTCAGAAAGGATATTATACCCTTAATATACGTCCATATATTATAACAAAACTTTTATTAAAGACAATAACGTCATCAAATACGACCCTTATTTTCATGCTGTAGTGCTTTACATCTTTGGGAACTATTTGTCTCAACATAAAAATTAAAGACGTTTCATCATTTGATAAAAGGAAACCATATGAAGGCATTAAAATCAACATTGATTTTTTACTATCCCTGGTACAAGCAATCTAATTTCAATCAGGCCAAATTGCCCATTTTACAGCGTCAAGTGCTTCTATGTAAAGAAAAAAAAAGAAAAACGTTCTATACCGTTCAGGTTGGAGGTAACTGAAAAATATTCTCCTCGGCCTTAGAAGTGTCTCACGCAACCTTCGGCTTTTGGCTGCTCTTGAGTTTTTGTGAAAATATATTTGCAGTGCAGACCTCCCAGCTGGGAAGTAACATGCATGTGTTAAGGTTTTCACCGTCATTAAATAATTCGAATGTGCAATACTGGTGGTTTGCAACTGTACTAATGTAACCACTGTTTACATCATGTAAATTAATATCGTGCTTAATGAAAACCTGCTCTCATTGCTCTGCAATATTAAAATAAATCAATTTAGTTTTAATAAACAGTAAGGAATTTCCAGGCTAGTTATTGTAAGAAGAGCTGTGTACTTTATTATTCTGCATGGTTAGTTAGAGCACTTTATATGATGTATATAAATATTTCTAACACCGTTTCACCATGGATTTCTTACATTTATCAAATTTCTCCAAATGCACGCTGGTGCTTCTCTGACTCCAAAGATTTGTAGCCAGAATTCCACAAATTCAGAATCTCAAATTTATTTATAGGGTGGTATTCATAATAAAATTTTATAGATGTCATAAATATGTCATCAGTTTTCAAAAAATGATGATAAGTTTTAAAAACATGTAGTTGAAACATCATTATATGCTGTGGAAAATATGAAACTTTAACTAGGTTTATAGATGAGAAAGATTATTTACGTATTTCGCAGGCAGATTTAACCCAAGATAGGTTAGGTAATGTTGCTGGTGTTGTATAAAGCATTAAAAAATCTGCCAATTAAAAAAAGGTAAAAGTCTAACTCATTTATGTAGTTTACCCAAATAAAACTGCTTCACATGAAATTTTGTCAAATGCAAACTGTCATTTAAAACTGATATGTATCAAAATAAACAAAACTACGTATGCAGAATATACTCTGTATTTTAAAGATATATTGAAGATACAGTGATACAACCATTAGTGATCCAGAGTTAGACAAACACTTTTTGGCTCTCTCTCTAAAAAGCGACACTATTCAAATCATCTCATTTGTTATTAAACCACCGTTTGTAACTATTTCATTCTATTAGATCCCCTAGTATGGTTAAGAAAGGTCAATTGACAAAGAGATGATCCTGTACAGGGTTGATAAAAAAAAAATGCAACCTTTTTAAAACCAGCAGAGGTTTCCATTTTGCAACAGACCCCCGAGAATACGCAAACGAATTTGAAATGTCGTTTTTGGAAATTGCATTGAGCTGTAGCTGCGTTTCGTACAATGATTGTTTATGGTAAATTAATGCTGAATCATGCAAATTCTAAATGTAGAGTTTTTCAAATAGAAGCAGTTTTTTTGATACACCCTTTTAGCATACCATAGAAGTTTTAAATACAAATTCCAGTAATAGCATTGACAATGGCTATAAATTTTAAAAAAATAAAACATTACCAATAATACCACGTCGCCACGGGATAAACTTATACAAAAACAATAACATTAAAAGATGCAGGTAGTCAAAAATTGTCATCGGAAATAGTTTGTTAAATCACCTGCGTTTGAGTATTTTGTAAACTGTGCGAATTTAATTTACACGTAGTTTTTTCAAAGTGCATCAATTTAAAATAGAAAAGACAAAAGTAGCTTAAAATATGAAATTACATACAACATCTTTTTCAGATGAACAAAGTAGATACACAAAATATGCATGCTTATCTTTTCCGTCCATTTTAGACATACTTTTGTTCAAAAGGTAAAACTTCAGCAATGGCTTCTTTTCTTGGTTCATTCATTAAAGGAAGTTTATCCCATGAAGAACTGCTTCCCATTGTAAAATACTCCACTGATTTAAGAACTTCACCTTTATCATTCTTACCGCCCATGACAACAATTGTGTCTCCTATTATAACTGCACAACATTCAGATCTTTTTTCCAACATGGATGGTATGGGCATGGATTTCCCAGTTTTACTATCATACATGATTACATTGTTCAATGTTTCACTTCCATCATAACCTCCAAGAAGAACAACTTGATCTCTCCATTGAACTGTTGCCATTCCAATCAATGGATGAGGTAATGGGGTCATTTCCTTAAGTTCAGGAATCTTTGGATCAAACTCTAAAACACTGGACAGAGGTTGGCTTCCTTTTGCACATCCTCCAAAAATAAAAACTTTGTCATCGACTACAACAGCTTTATGGTCTTGTCGGGGTTCAGGCATATGACAAAACTCTTCCAAATGTTTGTTACCACTAATCTGTACTTCATAGATTATATCAGATGTTTCTTTACCAACAATAAACCCTCCAATGTAAAGGACTTTTTGCTTATACACAACAGTTTGATGAGCATACCACTCACAAGGAAGCTTTCCAGGAAATGTCTGAAATGTCAAAGGTAACTGATTAAGATTCATTTTGTCAACTGACTTGCAGCCATATCCTCCAGCAACAAATAATGTGTTATTTTTAATAAATGAGGAAGCACCGCCATGTCCATTTTCCATGGATGCAAACTTAATCCATTTCTTCTCCTTCCAGTTAAATATTTCAGCACTCTTTAAGGAACTTGATGGGTAACCTCCAGCAACAAAAATATCTTTTCTTACTGAGTTCCACACTATTTCAACAGGTGATGGTAATGCTAGAACACGTTGTTCAATTCTTTTCATTTTTTCAAGCATTTGAAGCGTCGTGGCATTCCATTGTTCTATTTCCTTGCTTACTTTGGTAAGATTTTGTTGAACATCTTCGATTTCTTTCTTTGATTTCCTCTGGTATGCAGAAAGATTTTGTTGAACATCTTTTATTTCTGTCCTTGATTCTGTCATTTTTTTGGTTATTGTAGTAAGATTTTGTTGAACATTTTTTATTTTTGTCTTTGATTCCCTCATTTCTTTGGTCACTAAGGAAAGATTTTGTTGAACATCTTTTATTTCTTTCCTTGATTCCCCCATGTCTTTGGTCACTGAAGAAAGACTTTCTTGAACATCTTTGATTTGTTCCCTTAATTTCGTCATGTCTGTAAAAAGATTTTGTTGAACATCTTTGATTTCTTTAATTGATTCCATCAGGTCTGCAGAATAATTTTGTCCATTTCCTTTTAATTCTGTCATTGGTTCCATCAGTTTTTGGCTCTTTGAAGAAAGATTTTGTGGAGCATCTTTTATTTCATTCTCTGATTCAACCATCTTAATTTTGGTGACCGAAGAAAGATTTTGTTGAACACCTGTCTTTTCTTTGCTTGAGTCAATTGATTCATTCTGTATGTTCGAACTGTTACTCTTAAATCTCGATTTTTGATGTCTTTTCGCGTATTTTTTATTAGGGGAAGCCAATCTATAGATCCAATATATTCCAGTGTCAAAAGTACGGTAAGAACTGATACAGTTATTTGTTTATTGCTACTTGTTTAGGCTAGAAGATGCGATGAATTTGCAGTCGACGTTTGATGAACGCGGAAGTTGATAGCAAATTGTTTCTAGAGTATTTGACAGTATTTTGATGATGTCATGTTTCTTTGAATGAGATTGAACGGAAGTCACTATATAGTCTTTAATAAATGAGTCTTTAAAGCGCTTTAATACATGTTACTGAACAAAGAAGCTTTGAGCTGGAAAAGCAGCGTTAGAAGAAACTTAAAGTAGGTGAAACCTTCAATTATTATAAACAGTACTATTTGTGCAATTTACTTATTACTTTGGCATTGCATGGATTAATGACGTGGTTTATTAGTTTGATCATTTGTGACGCTCCTATCTGGAAATAAGATGTTTACTGTGCTAGCACTGACGTAGCAAACCAAGGAACGTTTGTGAGAGCTGGAGAGTTTTCATAAACGTTTTTGAGGCTCGCATAACCAAGTGCAATATCGTAAAAGATTTTTTTTTCTTTTATTCTATTAGTAAATGCGATACTTTTTCACGTTGGGCATTGGCTTGTTATAGTGAAGTTTGCACCACATTGGCACCTACTGAACGCCACAATACCACATTCAACACCACATGCAACACCACATTCAACACCACATTCAACACCACATTCAACACCACAATCATCACCACATTCAACACCATAGTCATCACCACATTCAACACCATAGTCATCACCACATTCAACACCATAGTCATCACCACATTTAACAAAATCCTATTACTAAAAATGACAGTTACATGTGTGTTGCTTCTTGTGAAAATACAGTTAATTGTACCATTAAATTTAGTCTTTTTGTAAGCATCACATGTAGTACATTTTTACACAATATCTGCTACACTTAAGCCAGTAAAATAAACATCACTATTGTGTCATCAGCTATATGTCAAAGACTGAAAGATCTGGAGTTGGCATGAACCTATAAAGTATGAAAATGTTGCAATAAAGATATATGATACTGTGCACATCCATATAATTATAGATAAATAACTTAAAAACGTATGTATATAGTAGAGAGTAAAGAGGGTATACATGCTAAAATGGTTAATAATAATGAAGTTTCAAAAAATCTAAGAGAATATTTAAAGTGTTATAACTAATTTTTTACATTTTATCATTGATTGATTTTTATATAATTGACTGATGCATATAGTATCACATATATTTAAGGTCAATTTTTCTTCTGCAATTTGTAAGTTTGTGCCATCGCCAGCTTTTTGATATGTTGTTGACACAAATGTAATGCAATTGTCAAAAAGTACTAAGTTTTATTGTAAAATTAACTAAAGTTGTTTAAATTGAATTTACTGCTGGCTAATACAACATGAGACAACACACCTGTAGTTGTTATTTTAAGCGATAACATTTAGTTGAATATTGTGTTAAATATTATGTTGAGTTTTATATCGAGTATGTTGTTAATTGTGGTGCCCATTGTGGTGCTAACTTTACATTGATTGATGGCTTAGGGAGCGGTAGCCCTTTCATTACCCAGCGGTCTCGAAAACCCAAGTAAAACTGAGGACACTGTAGGGAGCGGTAGCCCTTTCATTACCCAGCGGTCTCGAAAACCCAAGTAAAACCGAGGACACTGTAGGGAGTGGTAGCCCTTTCATTACCCAGCGGTCTCGAAAACCAAGTAAAACCGAGGACACTGTAGGGAGCGGTAGCCCTCTCATTACCCAGCGGTCTCGAAAACCCAAGTAAAACCGAGGACACTGTAGGGAGCAGTAGCCCTTTCATTACCCAGCGGTCTCAAAACCCAAGTAAAACTGAGGACACTGTAGGGAGCGGTAGCCCTTTCATTACCCAGCGGTCTCGAAAACCCAAGTAAAACCGAGGACACTGTAGGGAGAGGTAGTCCTTTCATTTCCCAGCGGTCTCGAAAACCCAAGTAAAACTGAGGACACTGTAGGGAGCGGTAGCCCTTTCCTTACTCAGCGGTCTCGAAAACCCAAGTAAAACCGAGGACCCTGTAGGGAGCGATGGTAAGCCAACTCAAAAAAAAGTGTCGGATTATCACACTATTGTAGGCATTGCATCAGAAATGGCAACAAAAGATGGGGCAGTCAACAATCCTTCGCTGTCTTGTGAACTCCCTACCGTAGTGATCGCTGCGGGAGTAGAGTCCCCCGATTGCTCCAGCGACAAAACTTGAGCGTTGGTTGTGCCTCGTGCTGCCATTGCAGAAGAAAGCGCTTCAGCCACGGCTGATTGTAAGCCAGCGCGAACTTCTTCCGACTGGAACGCAGTAGTCCAATCGATTGACGACCCTTTCGATGATTCTTTTGAACAATTTTCATAAGACGAAGCCATGATAAAGCCGAAAACAACAATGAACACACAAGCAAAACTTTTTTTGGACTCTCTGCTTGGAAATGCGTTGAATCTAAAAATTTTTTTTTAAATTTCTAAGGTTTGATTGGTGCTCTATCTCCAAGAGTATAAAGATGCTTTACTATGGGCGGCGTGCTGTGTAGGCTTTTTTGGCTTCTTGCGGTCAGAGGAGTTTACCACTACCACAAGTTGCTTCGATGCTAGGGTCCACCTGGCTTTAACAACTATATGGATTGATCGTCCTCAAGCAACCAAATTGGTGTACCTATGTTTAAAATGCTCAAAGACCGATCCATTTCGCCAGGAATGTATCATTCGCATAAGGGCAGCTGATGGTTCGATTTGCGTTGTTAGGGCACTTTTTCGTTACATACATATGCGGGAGGGAAAGAAGGCCCGTTGTTTCGCATGAGAGATGGTCCTCCATTAACACGAGATTTATTAACTGATTGGTTTCGTTTGGCAGAACGGAGAGCTAGGTTACGTGGTAATTATTCCGGACATAGCTTTGGTATTGGAGCAGCAACTTCGGCAGCAGCAGCTGATGTCCCAGACCATTTGATCAAGACCTTGAGAAGATGGTTAAGTATTGCATACAAATTATATATTAATAAATGTGATATATTACATTTAGGCTAAAACCTAAATTCAACCACTCCCTTAACGATCATTTTTTGTCAACATGTGTTTGTTCGGTATGTGTTTTTCTCTAATATGAGGTAATACGGTCGAACCTCTACTAACGGACACTTCCCGGAAGTGTACACCTCCGGGAAGCGGACACAGCTATTAGGTCCCTACCAATACCCTATTAACTTACTTTATAAAATAAACACAATAATACATGCGCAGTCATTGGTCTACAGCCGTGTTTGCATTAACTTGTGCGAAACAGATCTGAGCTCAACCAATCAAATCAATTACAACAATCCATAAGTCAAAGAGAATTTGCAAATCGATCATGAATACATTTTAAAGGAAAAATTAAAACTTTGTTTTAAATTTGTCCGTTTTGCATCAATGCTATTTTATAAAAGAATTGAGAGATGTTTTTCGTGTTAAGACTGGCTTATGCAAACCTCGGAGACGTTTGTAAAAACTCTCGAGCAGGTGCAACATTGACCTTCGGTCTTGGGCTTGGACTGATCAGTTCTCTAGTTCTCCCAAAGCTCTTCTCGGTTTGCCAAGCTTTTGCGAACACAGTAAACATTTTTTCTTAAAGTGGTTATATCACGAATTTTAGCCCCCCTTTTTATGAGCTTAATTGAAAATTTGGATTATTTGAAGAACTATGACATTTCGCTGGACTTAAACAGATAAATATAAGTTCCTTAATTTTGCCTCCAAAGTCGGGTACTTTTTGCGAGTTTTTTACGACGCCATATTGACACTTGTGACGTAGATAGTTGAACACGTCTGTTTCCGTCAATACAATATTATATTATAGGAGGTGATTTTGTTGTCGTTTTTCTTGTGTTAAAAACAAATAATGACAGTATTTTCAATAAAATATTAAAAAACAAGTTTTCCGGAAAGTATGGCCTCAAATCAGTGCTCAGATAATTCGAATTCGATGTCTGAATGCGTATCTGATTCGAGCTCAGAATCCGTGGGTTATGTCGAGCATTTAAACGACTTCGCATGTGACGATGAACCGCTCGCAGGAGATGGTGATGAAGTGCATACTCCAGATGATCCCGATGGAATTCTCCCTGCGACATTAGAACAACGAAGTGATGGCGTAATTCCACTCGGTGAATGGTAATTTGTTGTTTTCTCCTGTTTGTAATCTACATACAGTTACTTTATAAACCACAATGCTCCCACGTTTCAGGTGTAATTGTCAATGCTGTCATACCGATTTGTTAGAAGGCGCATTAGAGTACAGATGCTGTAACGAAATAGGACCAGCTTTGCAGAAAATGACATTCGATGGAAGCATTGAGAAAATATCATGCATAACACAGCATGCCAAATTTGGGCCAGCATGACATCTGAAAACGTCGGGCCACTATTGAGAGATAGGAATGGACGTGCTTATCGCCGCCAAGCATCAAGCATCATTAAATATGTAAGATTGTAAATTGTATGAGAAACAATGTTATCATCAACATTGTTTCATCAACAATAATTAGTCCAACCTTTTTATTTACTTCAGGTACTTGAGAGCCGTGGCATACAGTTGGTTGATGCGATGGTTTTGTGGGTCTATGGGATGGGAGAATACTCAGCCTATACCTGCTTGTGTTTACCACTTTGTTCAGAAAGCATATCCAAGTGGTAACACAAAAGGTTACATACCATCAGAGGGGCGATGATGGAAAGGTCTTTTAACTTGTGCAATGTAGAGACTGTTGACCTTCTTTGCCGAGTTTAGAATGGTCGGGAAATATGCCTAGATGAAAACCAAATAGGAGATACATGGATGCACTATATAGTAAAGAAAATCTTTTATTTAATGTCAGTCTGGGAAAAAAGACAAAAGAAAAATTATATGGATTTAAATCATAGCATAAATGTAAAAATGGAAAATAGCAAGCCACATGAACTTATCTTATAAGGTCTTCGCACTTGAGTGCACTGCATCCGCAAAGGGCATGTTGAGCATTAAACTACAATAAAAAAATTATTCATGAAAATTAATTAGTTGCACAATCGAGTGAGATAGCCATCTTCAATCTGACAAGTATACATACCATTCAATGTTATATTAATACTGTAATCATCAGGAAAAGTGTGTATATCAGTGCCCAGATAGGGAGGCTAGAGGGTACTATCACTTGCCTAAGGTGAATCCTCAGGCTGGTGGTGGGAAGGAGGTGCCCTACTTCTCCATTCCAGACAGGCTCCAAGCAATGTCTGACCACTACCCTATCATCTACCAACTTCAATTTATTCTTTTTCAGTGGAGCATTGACCTCGAGGATGTCCTTTCATTGGAGCTTTGCATTTAGTACATTTGCGAGTACTTTTATTCCCAATGCTATTTAATATTTGATCCGCATCATCTGTTAGGTCTTGTAACTGCTGTCTTTGCTGTTCCACTAAGGAAAAAATGCAGATCATTACATCCTAAAATAATTGGAAATAATACAATTATCCCATACTTACAGCACGGATAAAGTGCATGACTTGACATGCTTGTTCCTCGCAATATATTTTTTTATTGCCTCAGCCTTGGATCGTTTGGTGGGAAACTGGCTGCACAAAGTTTCAGGTGCTTTTCCTCTATATCTTTCCATTATAGTTGAAAGATCTTGTTTATTAGACATGAAAAGAACATTCTTTACTTGTTCAACATATTCTACAAATTGATATGAAAAATAATTTGTTACTGATGCTTCAATTCTCATATTCTACAAAACATTCTAAAAATTAGCATACCATAAGATGGCTTCACAGACACTTGAGACTGGGATTCACAAATAGCTTCACCAACTGCATGTAGTTCTTCTTCAAATGGCGAATCGTTTGCTTCCCCAGTGCATACTTCAACATGCTCAGCTCCATCACTAGTAGATGGTACTTCCTCATCGAGTGAACATGTTTCCTTCAGCGATGGCTTATGGAGAGTATGTCGAATAATCTACGACACTTATATCGAATTTATATGACTAAAGAAAAATTAACATAAACAAGCGTAAACTTACTTATCTTCGCTTTCGATCGGTTATTTCGTCCTGTAATGGTTCAGGAATCCCAGCCACGTCAATGTTTGGGATAGCATCTTTCTTCAACCTTCTTTTGACCTTGACTTGCACGCTCAAATTAAGGTCAAAACAAGAATCTTCAAAATGCGCAGAACACAGACACGAGGTAGTGGAAGCCTCAAAACCCGGTCTATGTTTACGCACAAAATTTACCCATTTTCTATGTCTTTGCGGCTCTGTTTCTTTTTTAGGAAACAGATGCATCGACATTCCTTCGGTTTTTAATCATTGGCGCAACTAATTTGATTAGGTCCGCCAGCAACACAACGTTTTCCTCCGCGTTTCTTATTAAGATTACTAGTAGAATACGCCATGTTGATATATGTGTTCAACTTTCTACGTCACAAGTCATTAGCATACCGATCAAAAAGTTCGCAAAAAAAATGCTGAAATTCGTGACTTTGAACGTCCGTAAAATCACTTTCACCAATCCAATTTCAATTATAATTGCAGATTTAAAATCACTGAAACAAGGTCTTTCAATTTAGCTAATAAAAAAGGGGGGCTAAAATTCGTGATATAAACACTTTAAATATTCACAACTTCTCATAAGAGGAGACCTCCTTTAAGCGAACACGGACACCAAAACAACATGTAACATGTTTGTAAATGTCGATTGTCCAGGTTGGTATAGTCCTGAGAAGGACTCTTTTTGTTGTTGTTGACTGACGTTTCGACAAGCTTAGCGGTAGTCATCTTCAGAGTCATTTGACTCAGTCAACAACAACAAAACTACAATAAACGTCAGTCAACAACAATAAAAACAGTCCTTCTCAGGACTCTACCAACCTGAACGATCGACATTTACAAACATGTAACGATGCTCCCGGGTTCAAACCATTTACTTTATATCTCTCGTAAGCGGACACCTCCCGTAAGCGGAACCTCCCGTAAGCAGACACCTCCCGTAAGCGGACACCTCCCTTAAGCGGACACATCCCGTAAGCGGGCACCTCCCGTAAGTGGACACCAAATCGTTGCCCTAATGGTCCGTGTTTAGACTGTACCATATAATAAGGTAATTGCTTTCTGGCGGTGACGGCACATTGCCAACTTGTATTGTCGTCATTTTTGAAGTTTTTCGTTTTTTCTAAACTCGTCTCTTTTTGTAAGGTTTGAATGTATAGGACCTTTTTTCTTCTCGCGGCTGACCTTTGGCAATTTGTAGTAATTAAATAGTAAGATAAAACCGAAACTATCGATTCTTTGGCTTAAATTGTTTTCGGTTCATAGAAAGGCAAGAAGGACAGATTTTTCGGTTCATTGTACAGCTTTAGCATGGATAGATTATAAAGTACATTTTATGAGCGACCACGTGTTCAAAACGATCATTGACCGAGTATAATCTATTGCCTTGGATCAGTTGCTCCGGTTTGAAATGCTGATAATTAGTAACAAAACATGTGAACATCGAATTTGATCCATCATTTAAACTGACTGTACTTTGCATAAATGATAATTTATTGAAGTACGCTGTGAGATCTATTTTAAGTCAAAATACGTCACGCAACTTACAAATTTTTGCAAAAAATTCACAATGTTTCTAAACAGTTTCAAAATTTGATCGTTTACCTTCTCTGACACTACTCCACATTATCAGAGATTTCTGTAATTGACTGTTCAAAATTTTTTGGACAAATTTGGATAAAAAGTAAAAATTATTTACTAGTACTTGATTAATAATATACCTTGAGATATTTCTCGACTGTGATTGGTTGATTGTAGTGCAGTTTATCTGTAATTGCATTTTGAAAATGTGCAATTGCACTGTTAAAAAGCTGTAATTGCACTGTACTAGAAAAGTAATAAATAATAATCGGACTGTAGAAAGTGTAAATGCACTCTAAATCCTGTAACCTATTTTTTTAAGTCTTTCAGTGATTTATAATTGTATATAAAGATCTGATTTTAAGTGTTTTTTAAATTGAATTTTTTTGAGGTCGTGAGTGAAGAAAAAAATATTCAATGTAATGTGTTTTCACAAATATAGATAAAAATGTAGACAAAAGTGGAGACACAAAATTAGGAGTAAGCACAAATGTATTACTCAAAGGTAGTGAGATAATGGTAGACAAAAGTATCGACACAAAGCTTTAAACAGCTAAAAACGGACTTTAGCAAACCAGCTAAAAACGGACAAAATAAAATTAGGCAAAAAAGTTGACAAAAAAATAAACAAAAAGGTAGGCACAAATCTAGACACAAAGGTAGACACAAAGGTAGACACAAAGGTAGATATAAAGGTAGACGTAAAGGTAGACCAAAGAAGTAGACACGAAGGTCGATATAAAGGTAGATACAAAGATGGACACAAACATAGACACAACGATGATAAAAATAGGCGAAGATCAACATAAATTTTAATAAAAGATAAAAATGTCGACATAAAGGTAAACAAAATGCCTTCAATGAAATGACGACTTTTTTAAATGTCGTCTCCTATGAAATGACGACTTTCTTGAATAATGTCGCCATGGAATGATGAGTTTTAAGCGTCAACTTCTATGAACAAGGTACACAAACAAATAGAGTTAATGGTAGACATAAGTTAGATAAAAAGATAGACGAAATGTAAAAACAAAAGTAAGCACGAAGATAGAAAAAACAGACCAAAAGGTACACATAAAGCTAGATTATTTAGGTGTGTTCAGTTATTCTTGACCTGCAACCATTCTCTTGAGATTTGCCAAACAATGTTGCTCGCCCATGCCGGCTGATGCCAACAATAACTCTGATAAAATATTTTTTCGTATCAGATCACCAACATGGCTGAATTGCAAGTCAAGAATACACACAGATAGGGCGCATTGAAAACTGCAAACATGATAATCGTATACACAAGAAGATACAAAATTTTAGTGATATGCAAATAATTGCGCTTCTGGGATTTGAAAATTTGTTTTCACATGCAGTAGCATCCCAATAACCATAAAAAGTAAATTAAAACCAGTTCGATTGCGAATGGCTCTTTGATGCATTTTTAAATACCCATAAGGTCGTGCATACAATGTATGGTATTTGCAGTTTTTTTAGACACCCCGTATATAATGGGCGTGAGAGCACATAAAAGTACAGCTGAAAGAACCCAGATTAAATGTGAGCAGAAAAAACTACAGCAAGCATAATGACGGAGCAAGGGAGAAGTCAAATTCGATTAGGACAGCGATAACTTGGAGACAGACCGATTCGAAGAAAGAAGTTTAATTGAAAGACCACGTGGAGGGCAAAATCTTGTCAATCTTCACATTGAGTAAGAATTAGCGGATGAATGGAAGATATTCTCAACGAGGATTACACAATTATAAACTATCAAAACGGAGTTAAAACGATGTCTTCCCGAAAAACATCATATGTCAGTGGATATTCTGCGCCATATCTAAGCATTTGATAAGCATACTCTTTATTTGAAAGTTTTGACATCTAGAACTGCCGTAATACAACATATCAAATTTTATAAAGAACAGACGCAAACACAACTATACACACTGGTTTCTTAATACAGCTGGTTTCTTGTTCAAAGTATTTAGAGATGCATTTTGCAACGTCGTCAAATATACATTCAAAATAAAACTATAAAACTGTATAAACCTATGGTGGATTTGCTCTTGGTGCGACAAACCATATTATTCAATTAGAGGATATGACTCGTGAAATATGTACGATATTCATAGAGAATACTCTGCAAAATTTGAATGATAACATGATGCATTCAGTACTTTACGAAGTCCTGTAAGTTATTTATAGTTAGCTCTTGAATCCTTTCAAACAAGTTATCAGCAGTTAAAATCCCTCATCCATAAATGCAAAAGAAATGGAACAATAAAAATACTATTGACAATAGCCGCTAAAACAAATCTTCATAGCATCACAGTAAAAAACGTGCTTCTGTATGTGCAAAAGCTGTACGGACATGATTTTAAGTATGTCTTTATATATTGAACACATCCACGGCTATAAAAACAATGGATGTTTGTGTATGACTATCAATATAACGTACTATAAATACTTCCACACATTAACTCTTTGTACCACACACTCTTTGTACGACTTATTTTTACGATTATAATGTTTTGGTTTGATGCATTCTCTTTGGCTCGAAGCTTTTCTATGTTATTGTCATTTAATGGTCAATGAACTTTAATGGTCATTTTTTTGCATTAATTGCTTATTAAAAGGAATGTTACTTAAAATTGACCCTCTACCTCCAACGAACCCTGTCTGGAGTGAGATACAGTTAGATCTAGGATGGACTAAAATGTAAATGAGAAAATAGAGCTGGTTAATAATGCAAAAGGGCATTTCTATTACTGACTTTGTACTGAATGGAATGCGACACTCAGTATAAATCAGAAAACATACGCTCTCCGATAAGAAGGATGTAGGTCTCACGCTAAAAGTCACTCTTAAAAAACGAAGTCTTTTGATAAAATTTCTTTATGACTCTCTAGTAGCAGGTAGTCTTTTTTTTTAAATTTTAATAGTCAGGAAATTTAAGAGCAAACAGAATACCCCTACATTTTCTTATTCTTACGTGGCGACTTTTTGTAGTCCCACCTGTTGCGTACACCAAGGTATGTTGTCAGAGGGGCAAACCAAGGATCTTATGCACAGGAGGACAGTGATAGGCAGTCGAGCTTCGCTCTCAACGTCGAGTACTAATGATTTTCTGGCGTATTTGATCATTTTTTTGAACTTTAAAGTGAAAGAAAAAGATCAGATCAGTTTTGAATCCGAGATGGTGCAATCGCCTTTTAGACAGACAACCACAAGTGTTCCACTCGCTATGCAAAGAAATCAACAAGGATTCGAACCTGGGACGTTGCGTGACCGCCACACCAGCAGGTTTAACATTCAGCAAGACAAGAGACATGCAAATCTGATGACAAAATGTCAAGTGATTGGAACAAAATAACATTCAATGCTTCAGTTTATTATAATTCAGGCATAAAATATATGGTATAATTTGACAAATATTGAAAACAGGATTTACTTGGCCATTGAGAGAGAAATAAGACATTTTTAGACAATTTAAATTGTAACAGCAAAGAAGAAGACAAAAAAAGTTTGCCCAATGTCCGGTTTTGCCATGTGGTGTATCAAAACAATAACGCGCATGTTCGTCGTCATCTTAATGGCGTTGAAGGATTTAGTTGTATGTTTTACTGTTTGGACTAAGCTAACATATTTTCCACTATCATACATAAGAATATCGTAATAGCTTCTACAAAAACACGCAGTTACTGCGGAACAGTAACGACTTTTTTTACTTTGTTATTGATGTTTTTGCACTTACTTTTGGGCTTAAGCACTTATTAAGACGTTTGATGGAAAATCGTTCACTTTCTTTTTTTGTGAGGCGATGCTTTCATTTCAAGCTTAAACCTTTGCTGAATTTTCAAATTTCGTCTCCTATGAAATAACTTATGCACTTTACTATTACAAAACGAATTTTTCAAATGTCTCTTATGATAGCATTAACCACATTTCATTCGACTAAATTTGACAACGCAACATTCATTTCGTGACTGTTCGAGTACTTGGCGTGTAGTAAAGTACAAAAAAAGGATTTTTTTAAAGAAAGTATTTTCAGCTACCGGACTGCATCGGTCGTAACGACATAAGTTTAATCTTTAATGGACAGTATCTCCTTTAAACATGAGTGAAGATAAATAGATAGATAGTTTGAAAAACTATATTTACCCACAGTAATCCTGCCTATTTCCACAGAGGGCGTAAATAAGAAAGAAAATTTACATCTTTGTGTCTACGTTTGTGCCTACTTTTGTGCCTACTTTTGAGCCTACTTTTGTGTCTACTTTTGTGTCTACTTTTGTGATTACTTTTGTGTCTACGTTTTTGTCTACCTTTATGTGAACATTTTTTTATGGATTTATGTTCACCTTTGTCAATCAATTTTTTTGCCGTTGTGTCTAATATTGTGTCTAACTTTATGTCTACATTTTTGTTTATCTTTGGGTCTACGTTTGTGTTTGTATTTTGCTGAGCTTTTTTGTCGATCTTTTTGTCTACTTGTTTGTGTGGTTCCTCTAAACTTTGAGGTGACAAATTTCACAATGTGATAGTGTTCTCCTTCCACTGTCATTGAAAAACCGTTCAAGTTGTTTTTAATTGTATTTTTTTATTCACACCATTTTTTGAAGTTTAATAAGGTACATTAGCACCTCAATCACAGCCATTTCACCCAACAATTGCAACCTTATAACATTGCGGAACCTAGAAACGAGTCATGTTTACGACTTTATCCAATCATGGTCTTTGATCCAATAATTCGATCAATTTCCATAAATTCAATGACAGTTAGGTTAAGAGATTTTTAAAGATATGAGAATTTGAGATACTGATAGTGTAAACAAAGATTTCCCAATACACATTTTCATCAATTTGCTTCAGAGGTACTGCTATCCGTCATTGATTTTTGCCAAGTACCTTCAAACAAACATGAAAATTATATGAAATCTTGGAAAAGATATGTTCTTGATCATACGGTATTTGTAAAAAGTATGACGAAAAACAGAGAAAAAGGTAGGATAAACTCATTCCTATATTATGCTCACAATCAGTGCTAATGTACATAAAATGCCTTGTCTATTTATAAGTGTGGACTATTGATTAGATCTTTTCACTCAAAGCTACTGTTTCACCATATTGTGATATCACAATAAATATATCACAATAAAATTAATTTGAAACTCAGCAAAAACGATAAAATTTTCAACATTTTCATCAACATTATATCAACATTTTACATATGCAATTTGTTCTCGGGTATTTATGCAAAAATGTAGATGATAGAAATGAATTTTTTATTGTTAATATAAGGATAACATACCAAAAATTGTCATACCATATTTGAATGATTTCGAAAGGATTCCGTCAGTGTACAATGTCATGAGAAACTTGTGTATGAAACAAATCATGTAGCTATTCCAGAGATCAACGTTTTATTTCTAAGTAAATAGAACAAATGTTATAAAACGAAGTTTACTAAAGCTTATCAAAACGTGCCAGGAAGAAATACTAAAATCTGTGAAATTAGTTGATGCTGTAATTGTTTGAGAATAAGTATACTTCCTGTTAACATTTTAGTAATGAACTTCCTAATAAAATTAATGTTTATCTTTGAATAATTGTTGCTTCAATATTTAGTATGACGATAAATCAGTCTATAAATCTTTGATCTAAATACATAAATGCTACATCTATTAGATGTTCGTAATTATACATTCTTTGTGTAAAGAATAAGAAGTAATTTCGCTTACCTTTGACATATACCTTTTCGTCTCTACTTCATGATCACTGACGCTTAAAAATTTTCACCGAACACACAAACTTCTTGTTCAGTTAACATTGCAATAAGAAGAATTAAAAGTGTCTAAATTTGTAAGCGCTTCTTTTCTAGCCTAATAAAGATCACCTGATTCGCTAAAACCAAATCTGTAAACCAATGAAATTCTTGCTATAATAGGTTCTCCCCCACTTTCCAAAATAACTTTGCAAAGATTCTAATGCCTTTGTCCACAATAATTTTCCTAATGTGGTTATAGATTGTAGAAACATCATCGGAAATAAAATTTGATAGCAGTCGTTGAGTTAATCAGAGATAAAAATAGATTTTCATGTGTTGTGCTTAAAACAGTTTTGTGCTCATGTTTATTGCTCAAATCACACAAATTGATAACATATTTAGAGTTATATATCTAAACTCTAAGCACATCATTGTTTTCTGCATTTTCTACTATATGCCTATATGCAGTGACTTATGCAAGAGAAATGACAAAATAATAAAATCGAAAAGTTATATTTTGCTGGAGTAATTATGGTTTTACTTCAGAAGTTTAATGAGAAAAAGTATAAAAAATACAAAAATTGGTGTTAAATCAACAAATTTTCATGAAATACTATAAAAGTAATTATTTTTACAGAGTACATAATTGATGGAAATGATCACTCAATTTGTATAATTGAAACTGGCTCGCACACAACTCATTCACCTACTGCATCGAGTATGTTTGGTAGAATGCAGCTAAATTTTCCATTAAGCACTTTCATAATCTTTGAGTCACATAAAATTTAATATAATCATGGTTATTTTTTTAATGACAAAATGTTTTTTATATAAAAAGACATTTTGTGTGAAAGCCAGTTTCAAGTGCAAAAGTTTTTAAGTGATCTACAAAAAAAACTTAATATGTGGAAAGTTAATCACAAAATTTATAAAAAACATTGTTTCGTATTTGTCTTTCCCACGCTTTAGATACATACACTCTAATTACAATTCACAATATTTGTGCAGGGTTTTTTATACACTCTATACATTGCTTAATATGGCTAAATCTTAAAAAATCATAAATCATATTATACTTGAAAGAAACACTCTTAAACCGTCTTCGAAATGCACAGTGCTCTTGTGTGAAGCTTACGTCTAAAACTTCATAGTATTTAAGTACCTTGCTTAAAAAGTAAACTTTGTTCAAGATATTTATTGACATTAACAGGATGTAATAAAATTATTACTTAGTTTGTTATAACAAATCAATGCTCAATTTTATGAGTTCACATGTCTCGCTGTTTAAAGCTATTTAAAAAGAATTGCATCGTTATCTGTACAATAAGTTTACAAGTGGATCTCAAGAAGTTTTTAAATGATTTAACAGATAGATGTATTAAGGATGAAATGAATGAATATGTAAAACCCGTGTTATAGACGGATGAGAAATAATTAACTAAGACACTTAGCACCTTGATCTGCTATATAATTCACGTTGACACCAGTATATTATTCGGTAGTTTACAAATATTACTTTGCAAAGCTACACAAAAATGTTTAAGACCTTAGACTATTAACTCTATATTTAACTTTTACTTTCTAACGCTTTACTAAGATGTCTGAAATTGTTATCTCCTAGCTCGCTAAGTCGAATATTCAATTCATTACGTTTATAATCTGCACTTCAGTTCATAATCATGATTAAGAATACACGATACAAATTGCAAAGAGATTAAGCTTTTACAATTATCCCGTGTCTCTTTGGACAATTGTTTTCCAACTCCAAACAGCTTTGCTTATCAAATTTACACGAAATAAGCACAATTTTTTCTATGTGCCCACATTTGGATATAAATTTACATAAGTTAAAAGAATCCAAAGGCGTAAAAGAAACATTACGTATTTCTACAATGTTACTTTCCGTGGAGTTTAATTTTGTACAAGCTGACTTTATCACATCAATGTCTTGCATTTCGTATAAACACTTCATGCCAAGAAAACCAAGTGCTTTATCGCCGTCATCACGAAATAGATGAGAGATCCATTTTTCAAATCTAGAAAAGTAAAAAAATAGTAATTTACACACATGGCCGTCTGTTTGAATGATAGTGGTTTTTAAAGAGATGTTTGGAAGTATTTACCGAATAAATCATTAAAAATTTTAAACAAGTGCATTTTGAAGAAGTACTTGTAGAACTGAAGTGGCGGAGCTACCTTAAATCTTTGATGCACAAATTTTGTGAACTATTTTTCGTCGGACAGACAAGTTACACTCTTACACTTACACAAATTTCACATGATGTCACAACAACCGTACGAGGGCGGTTTATGTAAAGGCATGCAAAACTAGATACATCATACATTCATCGTTTTCAAGTGTTTTAGTGTATACAACTGAAAACGCCATGAAAACACTGGCGTGGATGCATTGAAAACGATGCGTTTTTATTTCGATGAAAACGTAGCGTTAGTGTGTACAGGGTATAAGTTGCACGTGTTTTTCTATGATAAAGCAATGGAATAATGCTCCTTAGAAGACTAGTTAATGAAAACTAATGAACTTTATGACAAATTGTAAATTGTGCAACACTATTCTATGTATAGAAACAACTGATTTCATGTTTTATAAACCATTTCTTATAAATTTTTATTTTTCCATCCTATTCTCTGCAAAAAACTGTCTGAAATCGAAGCAAAATCTTTAAAAGAAAATAATACATACAGTTCATGCTTGTTTATAAAAGAAGTGTAAACTCCACGATAATACCTTTGTTCAATATCTTTTGTTAATTTTTTCGTATTTGTTTCAGATCTCTTCATGTCTCCAACCAAACCAGCTACAAACTGTATTACCAAATGCCATTTAGGATTTTTACAATTATCCTCCAAAAACTTTTCAATGTTTTTCTCATCTTCAACTACATGCTTGGCAGCAAGAAACTCTTGAAGAGTTAAATGATCAAAACAGAAAAGAAGGCGTACACCAGTACGTGGTATTTCATGAAAAATACTTGATGTTTTTAAGATACGAGGGTCACTGGCATCTTTTTCATAAATTAAACTTCTTCCATCAATTCTATTGTATGCAATATGTTTTATTTCATTCATGTCATTTTCACACGGATCATTATAGAATTCTATTAGTGCTCTTTTATAGACCTCAGTTATAGTCTTTGGAACTTCTAATTCCTTTCGGAAGTTTTCGTTTAATATCTGACAGATCATTTTAGTGTTAGCGGGGATATAACACAAGCAAATCAGCTCAAGAGAACTCTCGATGCAGTTGATAATCTGGTGAGAGAAATCATTATTTTCAATAGAAATCTTGTTGACACATTTTTTAATCTGGTCATCAAAAAAGCCCACGATCTCCACAGTCCGGTCAAAAGGTAACATACGATATCTATTTTCGGCTGTGGGTCGTGATGTTATCAGAACAGTGGCATCAGGCAACAGTTTACCTCCAACCAGGTCACTTAACCATGTGAACACCGTTTTGACATAGGGCTGCTCTAGCTCATCATTGTCCAGTTCATCAACACCGTCAATGAGAAGGAGGGTTTTTTCAGGATGGACCTGTATAAATTGATAAATTTGTTCAAAATCTTGATTTGAAGCTTTATCGCATTCACTCAACATATCTTTGACAGAATTGTAACCCTTTTTTAACGCACAACATCTTATTAAAACAACGAGTTTATCTTGCCAAAATTCTTCTTTACTGTGTTTCCATTCATGCATAAGTTTTCTAGTCAACACAGTTTTACCAATACCTGCTCTTCCTATGACTAAAATGGAGCGTTCCTGTATTTCCCCAAAAATTTCAGTTGCTTTTATCGCATTTTGGATACATTCATCAGTTTTAAGATGATAATGAAAGATTTCATGTCGTTTACAAGTTTTAGGGTAAGCTTTTTCCAATAAATTTTCCGCTTTAATGATAACCTTGACAGAAATGTTAAAATTTTTCCAAGTGCTCTCATCATTAAATTCGTTCGGGGTTTTGTAATCACGAGACTGTTTTTTAATTTGCTTTGACCATTTTCTGATTCTTTTATGTTTTCGTAGCAAATAAACAACACAAAATTCTTTCTCTCTCATGAAAAATCTGTCCTTGCGTGCCATATTCACCAAGTAAAAACTCTAGAATTGTTAGTATGATCAAAATAACATCAATAATTGCTACAACTTCGATCAAGGCTTTACTTTTGGCACTTCTAGCGTTTTACAATCAAGAAATATTACATCGTTTGAGGCAGGAGCAGTGTGACTTATCCGGTATGTTTCTTTCATTGTTGGATGCCATGAACAGGAGTAGTCATTGGGAATCTTTATGGAGAAAAGTAACCAAACAAATGTAGTCAATGTGATGTGGCGAATAACCAAATGAATGATGTAAATAAAAAACGTAGGAAAACAAGGAGTCTTTTCACTAGTAGTTGCAAGTAAAGTTTCATTACTTTCATTTCTGTAGTTTTCTGTTATAGAACGAGCATGGTCTTGAACTCGATTTTTCACCAAATATCCATAGATAACTGCCAAAATTATAACAATACCGAAATTCAAACATACCATAAGCAAATTAGAAATTTTGTAATTCATCTCATTTTTGTATTGAATAAAACAGCTTAAATCGATGTTTTTTATAAGAGAAGCTTCTCTGGTTGCTGATATGTTCTTGTTATAACAATGAAATGAATCATCATCATGTAATGTTAATGAAATTCCAAGACTGATGAATCCTACGATACCAAAGATACCAAGGAATATCCTACCAAACCAGTGAAAACTGTACCACGGTATGATGTCAAGAAAATGTAATTGCATTTTGTTATCCTTTCAAAAAAAAATTAAATGAATACATATAAAATCTGTAATGTATGCTAATTAGCTATGTAAATGAGCATTCAAAATATATAAATATGCACTTGTTAAGAGGCAAGTGATCTTCTTTCTTACAATACCAATATAGTGTGTTGACGTTATATGGCGCTGTAAGTAGTCAATTCTTATGAATCCGTGGGAATTTAAGCATTTGTAGTTGCAAAACTTGGTGTTTTTCTTAAAAAAAACGAAAAGATGGAGCGAATTATTGGTTCAGCTCCTCAAATGGACAGGCAATCGAAAGATTTACCCAGTTCTTGGAGTTCGTTCAAAGAACATTCTCAATTTATGTTTGAAGGTCCATTAAAGGATTGTTCTGAAGCTGAGCAGATAAGTTATTTGATGATTTGGGTAGGAAAGAAAGGACGAGCAATCTACAAAACGTTTGCACTAACAGACGAAGAAAAGAATAAGCTAAACAAACTGTATGGACAATTTGAAATTTACGTAAAACCAAAGTCCAAAGAGGTGTTTGCTCAATACTTGTTTCATGCCAAAATACAAGACCAGGAAGAATTATTTGAAAAGTTTGTAACTGAACTTAAACTGTTAGCCCGTGATTGTGGATATCGAGAAGCTGGCGAAATGGTAAGAGACCAAATAGTATTTGTAGTCAAATCGTCTAAAGTTAGAGAAGATTAATTCAGGGAGGATCTTCGCTGACATTAGAAAAAGCAATCGATATTGGTCGTGGAATTCAACTGAGAGAGCGTAAACAAAATCAAAAAGGTGGCAAGACTGCAGACAGTCGCCGGAAGCAATCAGGTGAACAATGTGGAAAGTGTGGATACCTTTACTTATAAGGTAAATGCCCTGCTAAAGGTAAGCAGTGCAATAAGTCTCACATATAACCACTTTGCAAAAATGTGCTAAAGCACTGGATTAATAAAGGACAAAAGAAAAATACATGGAGTTAACATTATAAAGGAATTCAGTGGTGATGAAGGCAAGTTCATTACATGCGTACAATCAGAGATAAATGTCGTAGGTAAGAGCAATGAGTGGTTTGAGACACTAAAATTAAAAGGTTAAACTAAAAAAATTCAATTAAATACTGGAGCAAAATGTAACACAATTTCTACGACCATCAACAAAAGCTTATGTTTAAGCGAGCAATTGACTAAATTAGATACATCACTTAAATCTTATTCGTTATACCCTCAATAGTGGTACATGGTACAGTAGTTTAGCCAGTGCTTCACAGATAGAACTATTACAATGTGAAGTTCTATGTAGTAAATGTAAAAGCATGTCCAGTTTTGAGTGCTAAAACCTGCCAAGACCTCAATTTAGTGAAAACAGTTTATAAAATTGCCAAAGAAAAATCAGAGGGACGGATTACCGATGTAATTAATCTAGAACAAGATTATCCAAAATTGTGTAAAGGATTAGGCTGCCTTCCCGGAAAAAAGAATATTTTATAAGACTACAATCTTATGCAAAACCAGTTATTCAACCACGTCGAAAAGTCGACATAGTATTAAAGGGCTTAGTTCGAACTGAACTAGATTGCATGGAAGCAGAGGGAGTAGTTAAGAATGTGCAAGAGCCAAAAGAATGGGTCAATAGTATGTTCTGTGTAGTCAAACCTAATGGAAAATTAAGAATATGCATGGACCCAAAAGATCTAAATAAACTAATATAGATAGAACACTATCCAATGAGAACGATTGAAGAGATATTGGCGCATATGGTTGGTGCCAAAGTATTTTCTGTTTTAGATGCTCAATCAGTATTTTGGCAAATTTGTATTGATAAAGCAAACTCAAGGTTATGTACTTTTAATACGCCGTTTGGATGCTATCGATTTACGAGGCTTCCGTTTGGAATAGCATCAGCACAAGAAGGGTTTCACCGTGCTATGTCTAGAATGTTGGAGAATTTAACAGGTGTGGACTCTATTATGGATGACATCATCGTATGTGTATTGTTCGAGTATCGTAGTTCACAATATCTTCTTTGTGTGGATAATTATTTGAAGTGGTGGCAATAGCAAAATTAGAAAGACTTACTAGAGCTACAGTGACACACTTAAAGAGCATGCTTGCGTGGTTTGGACTCCCGGATGTGGTTCCTTCCGATAACAGACCTCAGCAATCAGGTCATTAAATTGAAGAGTTTCAGAAGAGTTATGTGTTTTAGCATGAAACTTCCATCCCTCGATACCCGCAATGTAATGGAGAGGCAGAGCGAGCGGTTCGAATAGTGAAAAATATTCTGCAGAAAGCTCAAGATCCTTATAAAGCTTTGCTTGATGACCGAACTACCCCTTTGGAGGGAACTAGGTTTTCACCGTCACAACTATTAATGAATCAACGGTTAAAGTCTGTTATACAGGTAAGGAAGTCACTGTTGATGAACGAGAATGCTGATCAAGTTAAGAAGGTGTTAGATAAAAGAAAGCTTATTCCTTAAGCAAGTTAGAGTAAAAGAAGTGGTCCTCAACTACCACCATTAGAGTTTGGTCAAAGTGTTCGTATTCAAAATGGAAGAAAAATGGCTACCATCAACGGTGATTAGAAAACACAAAATTCCTTGGTCTTATGATTTTGAAGACGAAAATGCATCATAGTACAGGAGAAATCGCAGTCATTTAAGAGTAAATAAAGCTCGATCTGACGCTAAACGACAAGAAAAATCGAATAATTTAAATCAGGAATCAAATTCTAGAAATTTGGAAAGGTTGAGCATAAAAAGCTTCAAATCTTCAGTAGCAGACAATGCTCAGAAAAATAAATCTGGAAGATTAATTATACCGCCAAAACGCTATGATGCAAATGACTTTCGAAAGTAATGATTTAAGTTCGTTTAGTCATGAATCAATTAAGTCGATTGTAAGACATATTATTTATTACTAACAATTTTTTTTTAAAGATTAGATGGTGTAATGTATGTTAATAAGTTATGTAAATGAGTATTCAAAATATATAAATATTCACTTGCTGAGAGTCAAGTCATCTTCTTTCTTACAATTACTTTCTTGACGTTACAATATCGTTCAGTTTTATAAATCATTTTGTCATGCATATGGAACATGTTTTGAAATAAGTGAATTTATATTAAATCTGACATAGCACAAAGCCTTATATATACCTAATCATGATACTAAATCACTAAAAACATTGAGTCAGAATACATTTGCAATACATAGCTACGAGATCATGAAAAGCATTCTCAAGCCATTTGTTGAGCACTATTTTGTCACAAAAATCGTATAACTAGCAACAACATCTTATAGCAATAGATGTAAAACTAACATTGCTTCTTAATTTTTTAACATTTTGTTAAATTAAATATTACTCAACAAAATTTGTCCAAAATACAACATACAGAATGATCACATGCCTCTACACATGTCGCAAAAAAAATCAAAAATTTTGCTTCATTTGATAACGAAGTCGTCTTTATGAAAGTGGCATATTCCATGTGTTTTTCTGCAAACGTCTAGCTAAGTCATTCATTAGCCTTTTTCAAACAAATTGTTCGTTGCACAAATTTGGTTCACTATATATTTAAATTCGAGCAATTTTAATAAGTTAGCGTGGTTAGTTAATTTTTTCATTAGTTTTTTGATTTTTGTATAAAATCATATTATTACCACGAAAGCTATTGAATGAAATGCATGAAAGCAGCCATTGCTTAAACTATACCTTGTCTCCTAAAACATCTTGAAAGATTACATTGCATTTCCTAAATTCTAATAAACGATACTACCTATCTATGCTTACTTTGCTTTTCGTTTCTATGACGTTTAGCTGGCGCTTTAAATTCTTCACCACAAGTTGCACCAAAGGATGAGCCTATTAGCTACGACTTTTCACACTTCGACCAAATAAAGAAGTTTGAAGTGAAATGGAATCGGACTTTTTTCGTGTCAAGTAATACCAAATCTATATAACAATGAAATTCACCCCATGATAGCTTCTTAAGCCTGTACATCACATAGAAAATAAGATTTCCCAATTTCTTTATTTTACTTTGGGATATTTCTCAATGGCAATTGGTTGAATGCAGTACAATTACTCTTATTGCTTTGTGGTAGAGTGTAATTGCGCAGTTATGTAGCCTGATTCTGCTGAAAAGCAATAAACGTCATAAAACAGGCTTCTTTTCTGTTCATAAAAAAACAAGCAGGGCCGTAGTTAGAAAGCTAATTGTGCTGGTGTGTGTGTGTGGGGGGGGGGTTGGGGCAGGCGGTGGTGAATATTCATATATTCAGATGTGCCAGACTGATTTCTTTAGAACGCTAAATCACTTTCAAAAGAAGTCCGTTGGGCACAACTGAACATATAGAAAAAACCTCAATTAGCGTTCTAGCTACGGCCCTGAAAAGGAGAATCTAAAATTCAAGAAATACATAAGAACAAATTAAGAATAAAGTAATAACAGAAAATACTGTTTTTGTAGTGAATGTTGGGCCGCGCAACGAGAATTCTGAAGCGATAGACAAATACAAAGCAAGAATTTAAGAGTTAAAACAGCTTAAAACAAGAAAAATATAACTTTTGCGTTACAATAAGGAGTGTAGCTACTGTCTGCACTTTCATTGGTGCTTCGTTAAATAATTTTACTGCATAACAGTTTTTCTATCCAAATGCATATAGCTATCGTTTGCTTGTAAAATACGCTATTTATTTTTTGCAAAAAATATACATATATTCTCACTTCCTTTTTGACAAAAAATAGAGATTAAAAATTGTTGTGTTGCAACGTTTTACTTTTTTATTGCTCTCTGATAAAAGAAACTATCGAGGTCTAAAGAGCACAAGCCATTACAGTCACATGTAATGAACGGAAACCAAACTCTAGTAGTGTTTTACTTTGTGGAAGAGAGTGAGCAAAGATATAGAGAGCACAGATTTTTAAATTATCTACTCTATAGAATACATAACGTTGAATGATTGCACCGAATCTGTAATTTGTTGATTGAATTTAGTTATTTCATCCTTGTATTTAAAATTTTAACCCACTGGTGTAATGTTTGCTTTTGGAAATCTATTGATGGGGAAAAAAGTTTTAATTGTTTTGCATTTACTTTTTTGTAAATATTTTCAATATAAATTTTGCAAAAATCATTAATAATAGCAAATTGAAAACCATGATTTGTTTTTTGTCTACATCACTTTGAATACTGTATTCTTAATTATTTTCTTTTAAATTTAAATGATATAATACAGGCAATGTCGCGTGTGATTGCTTAACACCCTTCCACTCAAGTGATCGAAATCTCTGGCTATGAATATGGACTATCTCTATATCCCACACTTGTTACAAAATCTTTACATAATGAATGATTTGTATTCAAGAGATCAAACTATGACCTTTATTTATTGTACTTGTGCAACGCTTATTGCATTATATAACAATAATACAAAGTCTATAGTTAAGAAATATCATTAAGAGCACGAAGAGAATCAAATATTTGTGTTGACGAGATTAGAGGCTTTTCGCGCGTGTGTTATGAAATAAAACAAAAATCGCGCAAAACTATATCCGTTGCGTCATAATAATGCATAAATTAATAGTTTTGTAACGTTTTGGGTATGTGCATACACATAACTTTTAAAAAAAGATTTTACTTAGTTTTTGACATAAAAATCGGAATAGATTATCATTGAAGATAGCTGTTTTGTCAACTAGATAGAGCCACATAGATGTAAAGATACTTGACAAATATGCAGAAATACTTTAACTCATGAATTCATGAATTCAAGGAATTTCTAAAAAAAGGTTTTGAAGTTAGACAGTTGTAGAAAAACAAAGTTTCTGTTCATTTTTCCATTTTATCCTCTTAAACAAACATGGGCTTCAATTCTAAGAGGAAGATGATTGGGCTTAAAGCTTAAATCAAACAACAAATATCACAATTTTATTTATTTTAAAACTTAATTACTCAAACGATGAAATTTTCAAAAAATTTTATCGACATTACGTAAATTTACTCTGATATAAAACTTATCGCCGGGTAGTTATACAATAATAAATATCATAAAATTGTTTTTGTTCTTGCTAATTTGTCGAGAACATACCACAAATAGTTTTAGCATACTTGAATGATTTTGTAATTTGTCTGTCAGTGTATTATGTCATAAAATACTTGCATGTAAAATGATTATGTATTCGAGAAATCAACCATTCGACTTAAATTATATCCACAGTTAAATGTAAATAAAAAGGTTTGATATGAAGAAATGCCATAAAAAACGCGCCAGGAAGAAATGCAATGCGAAATCAGTGGGAAAAAAATTTTGCTGTAATTGTTTAAGTATAAAGTCAACTTCCTGTTACAATTTAGTGAATGATTGCCTTAATTTCATTAATTCCTTGTTTTCTGAAATTCGTGCCTTTTTTTATTACATTTTGCGTTGATATTTAGTGTGACCGTAGTCCGTATACAAATCGTCGATCTAAATACATGAATGCTAAATCATTTCATCTGATAATTTCTAAATAACGACATATTCATTATGTAAAGAGGGAGAAGTAACTGTACTCACCTTCGACAAATATCTTTTTGGTTTTGTTTGAAGATGGCTAACGCTGAAGACTATTCTACAAGCACTCAAGCTTTGTGTACTCTTTGCTGTGTAACTAAACAAAATATTACTGAATAAACATGCTCGAACTTTCTTTTTGGCATAGCAGAGATCACGTGGGTCGCCAACGCTAAGTTTGTGAACCAATAAAATTTTCGCTGGAATGATTTTTCACATGTGCGTCATAAAACATTGCCAAGACTCTGATGCCTCTGTCTTCAATTATCTTCTTGAGATATTTGTAAACGAAATATGAAGACATCAACATCATACAATGTTGATCATTTTGAGAAACCCAGTTTGTGTAATATGTAACTTATACTGTAAACGGATTGATCTGGTGATGATTGTTGTTATTAAAACATAATAGATGATGCTTTATGAGTGTAATAACAATGGAAGAAAATTATTAGTCTTTCACAATCTTTCATCATTTCACATTTGCACCGTCACTCTTCCCTATTGCTGATGATCTTGTCTTATTATACATTAACTCACATTTAACCAATAATTCAATTATTTTATGACTTATATTTAAATATATTGGCAATAACAAATCCCTGGTTTTGGCTGAATTGAATGCTAATCTTTTAAAAACTTTTTTCTATTTCTTTAATATAGATAAAATACCTAAAAAATAATTGATAAAGCTAAGCCCAATGTTTGGCAAATATATTTGGACATTTATACCCTAGAATTAATTTATTTATAAAAAAGCAATGTTTTGAAATCGAGACAACTGCTGGGATAATAACTGTAATTTCCTCTTTTGTTCTTAGACTAAAGAAATGCACAAAGAAGATTCTAAAACGATAATGGCATGCGCAGAAATCAAATGATTGTAAACTTGTGTAGAATACAATTTACGATAAAGTATAGTTTTGAAGGAAGAAACTCTACATATCGTTTATAAACAGGCTATGTAAAAAAGGGCAACCTTGGATGTCGATTTTCAAACGACACTTATAGAATTTGCGTGACTCATTAACTGACCCCATGGAGGTAAAATTGCAAATGAATAAACTAATGCAAAACATTTTGCAGCTAATGCACATTCCAAATCACAGTACTTTAAAACTTCTTTCATTGCAGTTACCCATCCTCGGAGAAATAATTACAGCTAAATCATGCAAAATCTTAAACGTCGGATGAATTCAGACATTTACCAAAATAAACCGTCAATATGTAATTATGTCATATTTGCCATAAATTTATTAAATAACGTGACTCTCAATGTGACTTTTAATGTGACATCTTATGATGCAGAATTTGTATTACATAATCAGATTATTCTCATGATCTTTCAAGTAATGCATAGATATTTGAGGTATTTATGCCTATAATAAACAAATATATGATTATACTAACACTCGTATTTGCTTATTCGCGACATTTTATTAAAAAATGGTACATTCGCATGTATACAAAAAGCTTGATATACGTCAATATCAAATTTCAAAACATTTTTAGTGTAAAACATTAAATTCCAAGTTTTATTATTGCTGCCATCTTGGTCCAAGATGGCAGCAATAATTTAACTTACCCCCTACAAATACCACATCCATTATGTCGGTCTAATAAAATGTCAATCTTTGCATAAACGTTTACTTCTTTATGTATGCATATTAAGAAAATCCAAACTTTCAACATCAATTAAAGTGGTTCTATGACGAAAACTTAACGTTAAAAAATCATCGATTTTAGCATTCAATAGTTTAAACACATATCAATTATTGCTTTCATAAAATGTAAGCAAAAATAATAATATAACGAGGGAGTTATGAACATTTGAAATGTCTAATTTTCATGTCCGCCATTAAAATCGGCCACTTTGAATATTTGCAATCAGCAAAGGTCTGTGACGTCATAGTCTTAACACGGCAAGAAGCGCACATTGGAAAGTATACAAAGTAATATTTAAATAGAGCAAAAAAATGTCAAATTCATCGAGATCTAGCTCGCTATCTGAGTCTTCGATCGAGACAAACGCATCGATTTCTTCATCGTAATTTGTGACGGCAAATTCGAATGAATCTAATTCGGAAATTTTGCCATTTGTCGATAATATTGAACCGCTTGCTTCGCCCGATGAAATTGCTGAGTACGAAGCTACAGTCGCAGAAGAACGGCGGGTTGAAGACATGCTGCAAGATCGTTTTGATGCCCGTGTTGATATTACTTCATGGTAAGATGTCATTCTTCGTGTGCTACTTTGATCTGAATCGTCTGCCGTTAGCTATGATAACTTTATGGAAACATACAATTTGGCCAATAATAAAGGTGTGAATGTGGCCATTGTTCGTTGGATCTTGTTGTCAACCCTCAAGAGTGCCGATGCTGCATGGAAAAAGAGCAATGCCGTGGTAAAATGTATCAGTTCGAAATCGATGAAATGAAATGCATTTTGGATCACCCTGGCTTTAACGAAGTTTGCCTGAACGAATTTGTTCTTCAAGCAGCTTCGTTAGGTTTAAAGACCAAAGGTCATTGCATGATATTGACACTTCATTTTGTATTTCCTTTAAAACCTTTGTATAAATGTATATTATATATTGAAAGTTTGCCTGGATGTATTATTGGTTCTCTCAAATTGTGAAATTTTATCATCTGCAATATGTGTAGGTACATAATAATTGCAACTTGTGCTAACCTGACGCCGCTCTCTTGACGTTGTTGGTGTTTGCGATTTCTTCCAAATAGTAGGTACGGCACTAAGTTTGAGCCGTCTAATCATACCACCCAAATGGAATAAACGCTCAAAATAATCATCCGAGAAGTGATTCGAACAAATCATAAATCGAATTTCGCGCGAACTCGGATTAAAGTTTACGCGCTTCGTCTGAACAAATTTAACCCAAATTCTTCTCAAAGACTCGTCGTTTGGGCTTTTATGTAATGAAATGCCTGTACGTCTATCAGACTAATTACTGCAATCTTGCACGACACAGCGTGTTGGAGGCATGTTAAAAAATTGAGTTATACAACCTTTTAAATCTCTATTTGCATATAGTGTTATATTGTAAACAGCCGTGAGTTAAGGCTATGACGTCACAAGCACCTTCCTTCTTGAAAATTGAAATATGACGCATTTTAATGGCGGCTCTTAAAGTTCAAGTTTTATCGCTACGTAACTCGAGCAGCATGAAATACATTGCGCTAAAATTTCACCAAAAGCGATTTTTTTACATACACTATTAATCTATGAAAAAAAAAACGAGAGGCAAAATTTTCGTCATAGTACCACTTTAACTAATATATAGAATTAATAGAATCCTAATATTTCACTTTCTAGAAGTCCGTCTGTAAAAGAAAATAGAATCATCAACTTGGAATTTATTGTTTTACACTAAAATTGCTTTGAAATTTGATATTGACGTATATATTAGCTAGACGTTTGCACAAAAACACATGGAATATGCTAATAACAGAAAGACGACTTCGTTATCAAATGAAGCAAAATTTTTGATTTTTTTGAGTAATTGTACTGCATTCAACCAATTGCCATTGAGAAATATCCCAAAGTAAAATAAAGAAATTGGGAAATCTTATTTTCTATGTGATGTACAGGCTTAAGAAGCTATCATGGGGTGAATTTCATTGTTATATAGATTTGGTATTACTTGACACGAAAAAAGTCCGATTCCATTTCACTTCAAACTTCTTTATTTGGTCGAAGTGTGAAAAGTCGTAGCTAATAGGCTCATCCTTTGGTGAAACTTGTGGTGAAGAATTTAAAGCGCCAGCTAAACGTTATAGAAACGAAAAGCAAAGTAAGCATAGATAGGTAGTATCGTTTATTAGAATTTAGGAAATGTAATGTAATCTTTCAAGATGTTTTAGGAGACAAGGTATAGTTTAAGCAATGGCTGCATTCATGCATTTCATTCAATAGCTTTCGTGGTAATAATATGATTTTATACAAAAATCAAAAAACTAAAGAAAAAATTAACTAACCACGCTAACTTATTAAAATTGCTCGAATTTAAATATATAGTGAACCAAATTTGTGCAACGAACAATTTGTTTGAAAAAGGCTAATGAATGACTTAGCTAGACGTTTGCAGAAAAACACATGGAATATGCCACTCTCATAAAGACGATTTCGTTATCAAATGAAGCAAAATTTTTGATTTTTTTGCGACAAGTGTAGAGGCATGTGATCATTCTGTATGTTGTATTTTGGACAAATTTTTTTGAGTAATATTTATTTTAACAAAATGTTAAAAAATTATAAAGGGATGTTAGTTTTACATCTATTGCTATAAGATGTTGTTGCTAGTTATACGATTTTTGTGACAAAATAGTGTTAAGAATATTTAGGTAAAGAATGAAAACATCCATTGATTGATTTGGATATATTTATTATAGTTAACAACAAAAGCGTGTGCGCAAAAGGGCAGTACGAACAGAACAGAATATATCATCATCACATGACATAGTTGATCATTATAACAAGACTTATATGAAGTTCTTCAACTCTCCCACTTAATGATCATACTATAAAAAGTTTTTTTTTTTTTAACTAATCCAATTAATGTCTCTAACTTGGGAATTATTTAATTTTCTTGACTCCCAACATATCTCGAAAGTTCTCAAAAGTTTTTCTTGGTAGACCTTTTGTCATAATATCTGCTAACATATTATCTGTCGAACAGTATACCACAGACATCACATCACGATTGACTTGTTCACGGACAAAATGAAAAGCTATGTCCACATGTTTGGTGTGTCTCTTACTTCTCCAACTGACAGTATTATTTTGGATTTGAAACACATATCCGGAAGTTGATCGTCTGGTCTCAATATCACCTCCCCAGTCTGCATCAGAATATCCGGATAACACAGAATCTGAACTAGTAGCCGTGAATAACAAACCATAATCCAACGTTCCCTTTAAATACCGGAGGATTCTCTTTACACCTTGCCAATGAACTACGCTCGGTCGAGACATAAACTTCGACAAAATTCCGACTGCCGATGAAATATCGGGACGAGTAGCAGTAGCTGCATAGGTCAGACAACCAATTGCCATTTGATATCATTGAGTCTCCACTGGTGTCTCATCTTTTGACAATGACTCAAATTTCATTCCAGTCTCCATCGGTGTTGTGACAGGTTTGCATTGGTCCATCCCAAATCTCTTAAGTATCCCTTCCAGATATTTTGGCTGACTAATGGATAGTGTTCTGGTCTTGCGGTTTCGTTCAATCACCATTCCAAGAACATATTTCACTTCTCCTAAGTCGTCCACTTTAAATCTTTCAGCAATCATATCTTTTTCCTTTTTAGCATCTCTGAATTATTTGAAAACCATAGCATGTCGTCAACATAAATAGCCATTATCACGAAGTTAATCTTTTCCTTTTTTTGTTTTACTGACTTAACATAGACGCATGGATCTGCAGTTGATTTCTTGTATCCGTTTGATGTAAGATAGGTGTCAATAGAGGTATTCCAGCACCTAGCTGCCTGCTTGAGGCCATAAATACTTTCCTAAGCTTACATACGAACTCAGGTCTATCTTTGTCAACGTAACCACTAGGTTGTTTCATGTATATTTCATCTTGCAATTCTCCTTGCAAGAACGCTGTATGGACATCCATTTGATGAATCTCCCAATTATAGATATTAGCGACAGCCGACAGTGATCTTATAGTTGTGTTACGAACTACAGGTGAGAATACTTCTTGGTAGTCTATCCCTTCGGATTGAGAATATCCCTGAGCAACCAAACGAGCTTTAAATCTGTTGACAGTTCCATCAGAATTGGGCTTCACCTTGAACACCCAACGACTTCCCACAATATTCTTGTTGTTTGGTGGAGGAACGAGTTCCCATGTTCCATTATTGATTAAAGAGTCATACTCAGAATCAGTTGCCTTTTTCCACTGATTTGCATGTTCTCCTGTCCACGCTTCTTTTATGTTTAAAGGCTCATCAATATCTTCCGTGAGGTTATCAGTAATATAACACTCGTCGTCAAATCGTCGTGGAGGTCTGCGTATCCTTTTTGCATTCAAGTTTTCAGTCTCTCGCAAGAAACGTTCTTCATAACTTTCTCCCACTTGTTGACCAGGCACCGCAATTTCATTGACATTCATGTCATCAACAATTTGGTCACCTTCATCATTTTCAGGTTGTTTTTCTTGAAATTCGATTGATTTATCTTCTTCGGGATAGTAGAAAGATTTGGGTTGTGCAGAAGAATCCTTACTAAATTCGTAAAATTTCTTTTCAGCGAACATAACATCTCTTCCACGGATAAATCTTTTTGATAATGGATCATAGAGTTTATAACCTTTGGTTCCAGCAGGATAACCAACAAAAATAACTCGTCGGCTCTTTTCTTCAAATTTTCTACGATTCTCGGTTGGAATATGGAGAAATGCTAAGCAGCCAAATACTTTCAAGTGCGACACATTAGGCTTCTGATTAAAAGGACTTCATAAGGCGTGATTCCTTTGAGTGAGCTATTGGGACTTCGGTTTCGAAGATAGGCGGCAGTGCTGACAGATTCAGCCCAAAATTCTCTTGGTAGACTTGCATGATGCATCATACACGTGGCAGATTCCACAAGTGTCCTATTCATCCTTTCTGAGACACCGTTTTGTGCAGGACTATAAGGAGCTGTCAACTGATGACTAATTCCTTTTTGTTTCAAATATGATTCGAATTCCTTTGAACAATATTCACCACCATTGTCGGTACGAAGCACTTTAATTGGTTTGCCAGTGAGGTTGGTGACATGATTAACGAACTCTTGGAATTTTTCTAAGACTTCACTTTTTCTCTTGATAAAATAGACGTACGTGTAACGAGAAAAGTCATCAATGAAAGTTACGAAATACCGTGAGTCACCAAATGAGTTAACCAATATTGGTCCACAGACATCACTATGTACCAATTCCATGAGATTAGTTGCACGCTTTCCACCTCCTTTACGATATTCAGTTCTATATTGCTTTCCCATAATGCAACTTTCACAAATTGAGCGTTCCTTACTTTTGTCTTCATTACTTATTCCATAAACCATTTCCTCTTTCATCAATTCTTTTATATTGTCATTACCCAAATGACCATATCGATAATGCCATAGTTCAAGGATAGAATGTTTTTGTGAAATGTATACATGATGATCTTCTTCTTTTGTTTGTAGCAAATAAAGTTTACTTAGAAGATTTCCAACAGCTAGCAACTTCCCATTTCTAGCAATTTCACATCTCTTGCCTTTGAATTCCACTGTTGCACCTAATTTGATCATTGCTCGAACAGAGAGTAAGTTTTTATCAAGATCAGGTAGATATAGAACATCATGTAGAGCTATTGCTTGATTACGATTTCCCAGATCACACACAATATGATAAGTACCTTGACCAAATGCCAATATTGACCGATTATCTCCTAGATGAACAATACTTGGTTTGTCAAATGCTATGTATTCTGTTAAGCGATCCTTCTCACTGGTCATGTGTTGTGTTGCTCCCGAGTCAATAATCCATACTGATTTATTCAGTAGATCAGTAGCTACCAATGCTTTCTCTTCATTAGTCAAAGCATCTTCTTTCTGTGCATACCAAGCTGAATTCTTCTTTTCCTTTTGATGGAAGGTGTTCCCACCACTTTTCATATTCCGCTTTGGACAATCACGGGCGAAGTGCCCAACTTCTTTGCAATTATGACATTTTCCACGAAATACCATATCATTTTTCTCATTATTGTTGCTTTTGCCTTTCATATATTTTCCTCGTACTGTATATGCATTCTCTTTAGCTTTTGTATTCACACTCCTTTCAACATCGTTCAATAACATATTTTTCACCTTATCATATGATAGATTCTCATCACCCACTGCATCTAGTGCCGTAATCAGGGGTTTAAACTCTTCCGCCAAGCTGGCAAGCAATGTCATGGCCAGTTCCTTATCATCGATCGACACATTCATTTCTTTCAGTTGATCGTGCAAAGATTTTAACTGACTTACATGTTCCATCATATCATTACCTGGATGAAAACGAAGCGAGTAGTATTGTTGTCTTAAGCGTACTTTTTGCAGCAATGATTCACGAGCAAACAGCCTTTTCAGGGCATTCCAAGCTTCCTTGGCTGTGTTTGTATCTCTAACATGAATCTGGTATTCGGGTTCTATAGCTAAACATATATATGTCCAGGCTTTCTTCGCACTTGAAACGAATTTTCGTCGCACTTCTGCATCAGCATCTTCCGTTGGAGTTTCAGCCGTTCCATCTGTATGCTCAAACAAATCATGACTCTCCAAATATAAGCGCATGTTGAAGGACCAAGAGCGGTAATTCGACCCATTCAGTTTCGCGAATTTCAACGTGTTTACATCAGCCATGTTTAACACAAAAATTTCATTAAATATATTTCATACACATTCATTCGGTTTACCTAATCGTACTTAGGCGTTCTGGGCCCATAACCTGTTAAGAATATTTAGGTAAAGAATGAAAACATCCATTGATTGATTTGGATATATTTATTGTAGTTAACAACAACAGCGTGTGCGCAAAAAGGCAGTACGAACAGAACAGAATATATCATCATCACATGACATAGTTGATCATTATAGCAAGACTTATATGAAGTTCTTCAACAAATAGTGCTCAAAGAATGGCTTGAGAATGCTTTTCGTGATCTCGTAGCTATATATTGCAAAAGTATTCTGACTCAATGTTTTTAGTGATTTAGTATCATGATTAGGTATAAGGCTTTATGCTATGTCTGATTGAATAAAAATTCACCTATTTCACAAAATGATTTATAAAACTGAACGATATTGTAACGTCAAAACATCATATTGGTATTGTAAGAAAGAAGATGACTTGACTCTCAGCAAGTGAATATTTATATATTTTGAATACTCATTTACATAACTTATTAACATACATTACATCATCCAATCTTTAAAAAATTGTTAGTAATAAATAATATGTCCTACAATCGACTTAATTGATTCATGACTAAACGAATTTAAATCGTTACTTTCGAAAGTCATTTGCTTCATAGCGTTTTGGCGGTATAATTAATCTTCCAGATTTATTTTTCTGAGCATTGTCTGCTACTGAAGATTTGAAGCTTTTTATGCTCAACCTTTCCATATTTCTAGAATTTGATTCCTGACTTAAATTATTCAATTTTTCTTGTCGTTAAGCGTCAGATCGAGCTTTATTTACTCTTAAATGACTGCAATTTCTCCTGTACTCTGATCCATTTTCGTCTTCAAAAACATAAGACCTCGAAATTTTGTTTTCTAATCACCGTTGATGGTAGCCAGTTTTCTTCCCTTTTGAATACGAACTCTTTGCCCAATATCCAATAGTGGTAGTTGAGCACCACTTCTTTTAGCCTAACTGGCTTACGGAATAAGCTTTCTTTTATCTAACACCTTTATAACTTCATCAGCATTCTCGTTCATCAACAGCGACTTCTTTACGTGTTTAACAGACTTTAATCGTCGATTTATTAATAGTTGTGACGGTGAAAACTTACTTCCCTCGAAAGGAGTAGTTTGGTAATCAACTAAACTTTATAATGATTATAATGTTTAGAGTTTTCCCAACCAAGACATCTACACAGCCATCGAATGACCCAGCGATGTGTAATATGTTTCAAGTATCTACGTATGAGAATTTCAAAGCTGTAAATGTATATTTGTTAATTATTTATTTTGATTTAATACAACCAAATTGTAAAGGATCACAATAGACAACACAAGATAAAGATGCGGATTCATGGCAAGATTTTGATCTTTCCTTACAAAATAAAATTAGAAAATAAAATGTACTAGCTCATTTTCTTGTATTCTACGACGCTTCCGTCTTGATCTCGCTGAGGTTGGCCAACATTCTTCAAGACAGCAGCATGTGTCAATGTCATAACGGTGCACTCTTCGTGAAGAGTAACATAGCTAATTTTTTCAATGCTCCCAACGAATACCACTTTATGTAAAGTAGTCCCAGCCTCTCTACAACAACGGAACTCAATAGCTTCAGTCACCAGTTGAGTAAGACACAAACAAGCTACATGCACACTTATGAAATATACTGCATGTTTGTTATTGTATTTACACACCACGACATACGGACAAAATAACAATTTTAGTTTCTACTAGAGTTCTAATAACATTTTTCAACTAACCAAGTATCTAATTAAACTTCGCTTCAAATGTTTGAGGTTCTAAGCCATCTGCGTCTTCTTCGACCCAAAATCTCTAAAGGCTCATTTTCGTACGAAGTAACAATTGAGTTAGCCACTATTGTATCCTTATCGCCGGAATTCGAAAGTAAATTTTTATTCATTGTATCAAAGTTTTCAGTATTCGAACCGCGTTCCCATTTACTGCTTGAAAAACTCAAATTTTATTGTGAATACGTGTATACATCTAACGAAATACTAGTTAATCAATCACTGCTAATAATTCGACTTCCGTCCTTTTAAACGTCACATCCGTAAAATATTGCAGGTGTAAAAATTGGCAATTATAACACAAACTTTGAGCAAGAATTTATTAATGATCTCCTCCTTTAATTTTTATAAAAGTTATACCAAAGTGAGCAGGAATAATTGAACTATTTGATTATAGAAAAAAATCGATACCCAAAATTTCACTTCAGTAGCACTTTAAGAACGACAGAACAATGTATGAAAAATAAAAAAATGAAAAAGTCTGTTTTTGACGTGAATGTTTGCAGACGTTATGCCACACAACGATACTTTCTAATCTGTTAGAAAAATGACTAATGAGACAGAGCTAAAAAAACCAAACATGCAAAAGTATCAGATCAAACTACAGATCAAACACTAACCTCCTTTTTTGCGTAACGTCTACTGTATTATAAAGCAGTAAAGCAAAGTCTTTGGTTAAGAAATATTATCAAAATTGGAATTAGTTGCTTTCCAAGCGTTTGTGCGTCACCACAAAAATGAAATTTGCGCAAAATTAATCTGTTGCATCATACGAATATCTATATTAATGGTGCTGTAGCATTTTTTTATTAAAAGTTATGTGTATAGACATATGGCTATTGCTTGTCTGTAAAATACGTCATCTCTTTTTCGCAAAAAAATTTCATTTCTTTTGAGAAAAAGTCGAAATTTGTTACCATAAAAGTTAACTATTTTAGTACCTCGATAGAGCCATCTGAATGTAAAGAACCTTAACAAATATGCAGAAATATTTTAACTATGAATTTAGGGAATACTTGAAGGAAGGTTTTTGAGGTCATATTCTGATATGCAGCTTTTTCATAAAGACACAAACATTATATAAAGAATAAGAAGTAATTCTACTTACCTTTGACAAATGCATTTTCGTTTTCGTTTGAAGATGACGAACGCTTAAGACTAGATATTATGTACACAAGCTTTCTGTACTCTTCGCTTTGCAGCGAAGCAAAATATAAATGAATAATTATGCTTGCACTTCCTTTTAGGCATAACAGAGATCACGTGTTTTGCCAACGCTAAGACTGAGAACCAATAAAATTCTTCTTTAAAGTTTCTCCCATGTGCGACATGAATCATAGCTAAGATTCTGATGCCTTTGTTTACAAGTATCTTCTTAAGATAGTTGTTGACGAAATATTAGAACGTCAACGTTCTTTGTAAGACGTCGATCATTTTGAGAAACCCAGTATATCAATTAAGTAACTTATATAAAGTATATGGGTTAAAACGACGATAATTTTTGTTATCACAACATATGGATGAGACCTAATGAGCTTAACAACAGTCGCACAAAATTATTTGTCTTCCACTATTCTCTTATCATTTCACATTTTGCACCGTCGATCTTCCTTCTCGGGAATGCTCACGTCTTACTCCACATTAACCTATATTTAAACCAAGACTGCAATAATTTTGTCTTCTTCATCGTTATTGGAGTCGGTTATCATTAAATCAATTGACTTGCTAATTTCCTCCTCTTCAGACACGTTTTCCATGCCATTTTCTTGCATAATTTGATGAACGGATGTAAACAAAATATCATCAGTCACCGCATTGTGTGTGGGAGAAGTCTGATGGTGTGAACTTTCAAGTGTCGGAAACCAACGATATTCATAGTGAATGGTATTGGCAGCTACGTCTATTATTATTCATTTATCAAAGACAATATGTATTTTTTATCTGATTTCTCTTTACAAGTTTGCGCGACCATTTTTTTCTGACTATTATACATTTTTTTTTCTACAGTTGATGGTTGTTCTACATAGTTATAAATCATTTCTTGTAACGAATCAGAGTTTAAAAGCAAGCTATTATTAAAATTCAATGTAAAGCCTCTTATTTTACATTGCTGTTTACCATTACTAACTGTATAAGCATAATTTTAGGACCTCCACAGACAAATTAAGCAATGTGTTCGCCTTCGTCAATTTCATTGGTCAAATCCCCCAAATAGTCTTTCAAAGGAGGCTTTTCTGAATCAGGCGTTGCAGCAATAACTACGTTGTCCGTGTCGACGAATAAAATATTCTTATGCAATCGGTCTAACACGTTGTATAATTCTAAACGTGCCCATGCAGTAGTAAAAATACCAATAAAAATATTTGTTGTTTTATTTTCCTTATGAAACTCAAAATCACGCTTGTAAATAACTTCAAGTAAATCGTCATTCAGTAATTGCATATCGTGAATCTTGGTATCGGCGCTATTTAGTCGATTCTACAATACAAGTGCGTCGTGAATATATTTAGTAAAAATACCTCCAAAAAGAAACTATCAGTCGGGCATAGGTCTATTATGATTTCGTGTGTGTTTAGAAAATATTGCATTTGAGATGTCTGTCTCAGTCGCTTGAAATCATCCTCCCGTATCGTTTTAACATTATACCCTAACACTAATAATCTTTCTCACGCTCAATGGTTCGATTGTACGCGTCTCTTAGTGCTGTCCCTCTGGAATAAGGGTTTTCACCCCTTAAATCAAGACATAAGGGGCAGCCGTGATAAACTTTACCATAAAACTCATACACAGTATTAGTGTCTTCGCAAAATCCGTCGACAAATTAATTTTTACCTAACAGCGGATCAAAAATAACTTTCTCGCTCCCGTAGCGTTGGGCGTGCTTGATATTGCTTTTTGTTTGAAAAGAAACAAACTCCAACCACTCAATGGAACTGTTCAAATACGGCTTGTTGCTTTCACGATACATATTTTAGGTACAATACCTATGGTTTTTTCTTTTAATTAATTTGAACGAAACACAGCCATGACCGAAAAGTACAGTAACAAACGGATCTATGGTAGTCTCAGCTATGAACAGCTTTCTGAATTCAATACAACACAGGCGTAAAATAGTTACATTTTGAAAGCAATATTTGTACATTTCATTTTGAAAGTCAAAAACGTACCCCTCATTAATTAAATTTTGATGCCATGCAATTTATTCATCTCTTTTTGCTTTGTGTCGGGGGTATGATATTCTAGAGCAGGAATCGGACCGACATAATTTTGATTTTCTCAAGTGTTGAATTTGAATGCGGAATCGCTTTCGAATACATCGACAAATTCAACACAAACGTTCGAGGTAAATTGGAAAGTGGCATACTTAGGAAATTTAACGAGTCGATTAGAGTGATTTGGTAATCTTTTAAAAATAGTTGCATTACTTTCAGACCTGAATGAATGACATGCATGACGACTGTCGGCCGATATTGTATGAGCCACTTTTGAATGAGAACAGCGTCAAATCCTTTTGCATTATGGGCGATTGCTGTATAGCCTATTTGCTCTCTTGAAAACAGAAACTCACAAAAATCATTTAATGCATTGTATCCTTTGAAAACACGTTTGTCATCTGAAGCTGTGTACTGTAATAATGCAAAATTCACAAACGTGCTCTCCGCTTGTAAAATCCGTTTCAAAATCGTAGAAAATGAGTTTAACATGCCCATATTACAAACCGGTGACCAACAAAGAGTTATAAGTTGAATTTATTATTTATATATATGAGTCTGCGAGATTATGTAGTTTTATATAGGTGATAAGCTCTAAGCCACTATGTTTTGTTCTTGACTGTAGAGTTCGTTTATGCTTAATGTTTTACGTGCGTGTTTGCGTGCACAAAGTACAAGTAAACTTTTCTATTAACTTTATAACTTATGAATGAATACAAGTTTTGGGTGGTCACACATGCATTTTGCTTTGCGCAGTTCGTGACAATCCTTCGACAATGATTTGGCATCGCAATGCAGATCATAACAAAGAATATCAAAGAGCGTCTGTCTAAGACTTTAATTTACGGTCTTTCGTGATAATATGCGTATTTAAAATGTGTATAAAGTCCGTCTGGTGACGCGAAGCGTTTTCGTATGCTAGCATAAACACAAGCAGGAAATGGTCTTCGATGTTTATTCCCTAAAATTTGAAAGATCCACATAGAACATCTTTGATATGCGACTAATCGATACAGCTTGTGTATTCTCGCCAGATCCTCATCAGACAGGGGCCAGTTTTCTTCAAGATACCGACACACGTCTACGATAAAACACTTTCTGCCAGCATAGTGTAGCGAAATTCTTGGCGTGTTGTCAAGCAATACTCTCCTTGAGTTTCTGTTTGGCCTAGCAAAGCCTCATACTCATCGTATTCAAGCGCTTTTTCGAAGAAAATAAAACACTCGATTGCCTTTTTTGACAAAGTACAATGTCCACACTTAGAGTTTGAAGGGGCCAAGCATTTGCTTTCTTAACTTCAGCATCTATTTCATCCTCCGACGAGGACAAGTCGCCCCGCTCACTTTCCTTTTCGGAACCGCTTTCTTCACTAGTTTCGGCTTTCATTTCAGGTTCACATTGATAGGGCAGAACCTAACCCGGTTGATTTTCGTGTATGTCATTCATTACAACAAAAAACCCCCGTAAACTCTACTTTAAATGTGTTGTATCGCCGTTGTCGTTTTGACTGCTTACCAGCTAATGACGTCACTACCGCTCGAGTAACTTTATCAAAATTTTATCCATGATGACGAAATTTATACAACTTTTATTGCAAGTATCTCAGCAACAAAATATTTTTGAAAAAATATTTGCTATTTTGGTCGTTAGACATCACAAAGGCTCAAAAATATGCCACAAAAATTTTGATTGCCAATGTCCTTTAAGTATACTATTGAACACATCCAGAAATAAATTAATAAAAACGTTTTAAATATGATCGAAATTCGAAAATTTGTTTTGTTTTGAATCACATAAATAAACCACAAATGACAAATCCATCGGAAATCACATCAAGTCAATTTATATTTGCTTATATATTCTTGTGTAAGCATGCATGCAAAACTTGTCATAAGTTTTTTAACCTTAAGGCAACCAAGTTCGTTATTTTTTGTCTTGGC